TTCAATAATCCCATTTAATTTTTTGTAAGCCAATAGTTTTTTTTTGTTTTGAGCCTATACTGACGATTACGTTAATAACCGTTAGTATATAACATATTTATACTGATAGATAGTCATATACCATAAAAAAAGTTTATTTATATCGATGGTTAAATAAAGTATTAATATAAGTATGATATATTCTGACGGTATTAAAAATTTATTAGTAAAAGTTTATTTTACTAATGGATTTTGACCGTCAGTAAATAATTTATATAAAAAAATTTTGCATGGATTATTGAAGACGCTTTCAGTCAAAAACGTCTTCAATAATCCCATTCAATTTTTTGCAAGCCAATAATTTTTTTTGTTTTGAGCATATACAACGGTTATATTAATAACAGTCAGTATATAATATATTTATATTGACAGATAGTTATATACCATTAAAAAAATTTTATTTATACCGATGGTTAAATAAAATGTTGGTATAAGTATGGTATATTCTTATGATATTAAAAATTCATCAGTAAAAGTCTCTTTTACTAATGAAATTTGATCATCAGTATAAACAAGTGTCAGTATATGAAAAAATTTGTATAGTGTTAATGCGTTTCTCTATAAAAAACGATTTAACTAATTCTTAATATTTTTTTATTGATGATATTTTATAAATAAAAACAGTAATCAAATAAAATATTTATCTTCTTTCGTTGTTAATGACATCATTTGTCGTTTAGGTATTTATTATTAATAAAAACTAATAAAAAGTTATCATCATATATGTCAAAAACTCCTTTAAATTTACTCATTCAAAAATTAATATATATGATTTTTCTCAATTAAATAAGTAAATTTAAACACAAAATACTCAAAAAAAAAAAAATCTTAAATATCATATTTTTTTCAAAAATCATATATTTTTTTTAAATTTAAAATTTCACGAACTAAACATCCGGTCAAAGTTTGCCTTTACCTAGAGGCTATATCCACATTCTATGGGAAACATTCTCCATATGTTTTCTACTTAGCAGCACAACTTGAAATTAAGCTAGGGCTAGAATCATCGAACTTTCTTGATAAAAAAAAAAAAAAAACTAATTACAATCTGATAGCCAAGGAAATGATCTGCAGTACGCAAGGAATGGAGAAATTATGATCTCTTTGTCTCTTGAAACTAACCCTTAATGGTTCAATATGACAATAATCGTTGCATCATATGCCAAATCTGAATAATAATAATAATATCCGGAAGATTCAAAGTCATAGCTGAGAGTTATAAGTCTTTAACAGAATGAAAACAAATGTGTCAGTCAAGAAAGGTGGATTCCCGCGACTCACGTTGAATTTCAAGTTGCGTTGGAAAACATTGTTGAAAAGTTGGGCTCGTAGCATTCGGCAGTGGTTTCAGTGAAAATGACCATAGATTGCCAAGTGGTAAAGAAGGAAGAAACTAGTATAAAAAGTAACTCCATGTATTTTTTTACTGCTGCTTCTTGTAACCATGGCTGTAACCATGGCTAGGACAAGGCCCACAACCTCAAACCTCTATAGGCATCTCTTTTTGTTGTCCTCTTTACAGCTGTAACCAAGAAAAGAAAATATATGAATGGAAGGGCAAAAATAATAGAAAATACATGAGAATTGAGTCCAAAATTGTAGTCCAAGTGGTTTAATACTACAAGAAGTTCATATATAAATGAAGCAATAAGAAGGAAAAGTAAGAAAGAAAAGACCAGGTCAAAAAAGATTGTTTAAGATGAGCAAGCTAAAGCCTAAAGCCCCCTGCCCCAGACCCAGAGCCATGATCACAAATGTTATTCCACAATTATTGGTGTGGGGACGTACTGACCTCATGGTTATGGCTCATGATCTTCTGGTTCTTGGGAGCAAGCTGTTTCCCTCTGAAAAACAACACATTCCTCTTTCTTTTCTAACTCTCTCTCTCTCACATGCATCACGAGCATTTGCACGCATCGACTGCAATCTACACTCTACCAACCTTAAAGCAAAGAACAAGAAAAAAAGGACCCAAAGACAATCTCCTATAATATCAAAGATTTTGTCTCCCAAATTCAAAATCACCTTTTTACTTTTTACATTTTTTATATGGGTTTTGAGTGGGTGCCCCATCAAACCACAACCACCAACTTATAGTTTTTCCATGTCACTCTTTCATCATTTTTGTATCAATTCTTTATTATCTTAATAACATGAGCAAGATTTTTCTCCTTTCAGTCACTTTTGCCATTGCTTGTAAGATGGTTTAAACAAGGAATGTACCAAAGGAAACCAAATATTTTTCCCATCAAAAAGTGGGTAACCATGCTCTTTTTTTATAGATTGGGAACGCCTTGGAAAGAAGCCTCAAAATATTACCTTCCAATATATATATATATATTCTAACACGTGAAAAAAGTAAAAGAAAATTCTTCGCCCTTATAAAAGATTGATACTATTTTTTTTTTCTTTTTAAACAAGATAGATTCTATTTTTCAAAGGAAACCAAAAAAAAAAAAAAAAGAAAAGAATTAAAGTAGTAGTATAAAGTTTCTGGCATATCACAAGGATATAGAGAAAATTTCTTTTTTTTTTTATAATCAGATTTTTTTTTCGGAATATTTTGAAAGTAAAATGTTAAATATATTAAATTGATATAAAAAAAATACTACTAAAATCGTTCCAGAAAACAGCTCAAACTTAAACAAATTTGAAAATATTTATGATTGCATTATTAAAAAAAAAACTTAAAGATATTTGATCCACTCAGATTCATAGTAGACAAATTAGAAAAAAAAAAAAGCAGGGAAGAAGAACATTGAAGCTCTATGGTAAAAAGAAACATGAAATACTAGTAGTAGTTCCTCTACTTTTCTTTTTTTATGTTTTTTAAAGGAGTGAGAATAATTTTTGAACCTTGAATTTAAAATTAAATTTGAGTTTGAATTTTTTATTATGTTAATTAGATTCAACTTCTTAGAAAAAATTATGGTGGGTTAAATGGGAGTTAGTCTAATCTGATTAAGTAAAGGATACAAAAAGGGAAGATTCGATCAAATAAAGTTAAGAAGGAAACATCCCAATTGTTTAAAGTGTAGATTGAGAATGGCAAAAGCATTTTGTGAGCATTCTTTTGCCTGTCCTTTACTGCTTTGCTTCAAATTCATCCACTTTTTTTTTTTTTTTTTAACAAAAGCGCCTGCACTTCCAATTTTTTAATTAATTTAGTAGTTAAATTAATAATCTCAAAGTGTATAATTATTTTTGTAACCTTCATATTGAAATATTAAAATATTTTATATTTTTATTGAAATATTAAATAGTTTAATATGTTTTATTGGTTTTACTTCTTTTGTTCTTTCTCTCCCTCCAATAAATGTGTTGAAAATGAAATTTATTTGTTTAATAATAGTAATTAATTACAATGTAAACTAATAGAGTTTTTAATGAATCATTTATAAATAAATTTAAGTTTTTTTATTTATTTATATTCATTTATTAATAAATAACTGTTTATTAAACCAATCAAATATTATTAGAGGTTTGTTTATTTTATTTATGTTTATTAATAAATTTATTTAAAATTCGTTTAAAACTTATTTATTTATATTTATTTATGGTTCGTTTATTGTTCAATAATAATAATAATGTTGCATTTTTTCCTTTATCCTATTATTCTAATATTTTTACTCTTTCAACTTATTTTATAGTTTATGTTCGTTTATGATTCATTTATATTCATTTATTTTTAATTTTTAATTATATGTTTGTTTGTTTAAATTTATTTGGTAATAATTTATTTATTTTTCATAATTCATTTATATATATTTATAAATATATTTTTTTAATATTTATAAATGAATTTGTTAAATTTAAACGAGTCGAATATAAATATTTTATTATTTAAATGAATAAAATTTGAATATAATAAATAAATTTTTATCAAACACAAATAATTAAAAAAAAGTAATTATACTCTAAATATATATTTATTTATTCATATTTAATTCGTTTACATCTATAAACCCAAAGATCAAGTCAAGGCCCATAGAGGAAGAACAAGGTATGTGTGAAAAAAATTTTCATGAAATTTCATAGGTGAAATTTATGAAATTTTTTATTAAAAGTGAGTAAATAAAAATTAAAATAAAAAATTAAAATTGATAGATTAAAAAATTTTATCATATAAATTACAGGTATGAATTTTAAAATTTTTTTAATAAATTTTGATATATTTATTAAATAGATATTTTTAATAAAAATATTAATAAAATTTTTATTGTTAAATAAATATCGATTAAATTTAAATTATAAATAATTTTTTAAATAATTTTTTATATATTATCTATCTTTACAATTAATTCTATCAATTTATAAATTCAAAATTTTGATTAAAATATTTATTTATTTTTTTAATAAAAATTTTCATAAACTCTACCTATATAATTTCATATAAATTTTACCCATTAGATATATAGCTTCTCATGACTCTGATAAACAACTACGATCGAACTAAAAGAAAAAGCATGGAAACTCCCAGAGCGACGGTGTTTGCATAATGAAGAATAATTTTAAACATGATATAAAAATAATAAACTTAAAATTTTAATAAAAATATATAAATTTAATAAAATTAAAATATGTATTTCATATTCAATTAATTTGAGAGAGGAGAGGAACAGGACCATGGTCACCTCAACAAAGGGGAAGGTTAGCACTCGAAACGAGGTCAAAACTCCCAATCCAAAAGTCTAAAAGCCGAACCCCACTTGCCGACAACCTCTTCCTTGCTTCACATGCAAACAAACCCTCTTTTTTCTTCCTCTGTCGACAATTTTCCATAACCAAATACACCATCACATTAAATAAACAAATAAAATATAACCATTTTGTCACTCATTCTTGCTACATGGGTCTAATACTAAAGATTTTTTTTTTGGGGTTCAATGAGAGGACTTCTCACAAACAAAAACAATATAATATCATCACGGATAAAACAAAATTATTCTGAATTTATTTTATATATGATGATATAATAGTAAAATATTAGATGTATGTCCATATAAAGTACTGCTTTGAAAAGACACTTGCAGATGGAAAAATAGAGGTGCCAAATATACAAAGAAATTGACTGCATACATTCTTCAATGCACCTTTTTTTTTCTTTTTTGTCTAATTTGCGACCCGTCTCTCAACAACTCTCTCCATCCCCCATTCCATCAGTTTGAAATAAGAATTTGGAGGATTCTTGGAATTGTAGAGATGGGAAGGCAAAGCAGAACTTTCTACTTTTGTTTTCTGTTTGAACCAAAAGGAGACATAAGCATAATAAATATAGATCTTTTTTGGACAGAGAGAGATTAAGATGGGCTGCCAACGACGTCTATAAAGACTCGGTTGAGTGATGGTAAACGCACTCCTTGTTCTTGGGCTCTGCTCTTCTTAAAGGGTGGCTCAGGTGATGAGTACACTGAGACTGACGACCCCACAGCCCAAGAATCGTTTGAGCTATCACTGCTAAAAGCAGCATCAATCACGCCACTTGGGCTGCCAGGAACCGTCTCAAGCTTCCTCTTGTGGAGATGAGGAGGATTGCTATCTGCATTATTTTGGGGTTTTGTTGATAGATCAAGAATGAGCTTGTAACAGTCATTTACTTTTTCCTGTTGCAAAGCAGTGGAGCAATTAATAAATTAAAAAGATGATACTAGTAATATTTAATAATGTGCAAATAATTGAAATAATTTGCAATTAATGGAATGATTTTTTTTACATAAAAAATGATGAAGAGGCCAAACTAACTACTTTAATGATCAAATACAACCTTGCTTATTTTAAGAACAGTCAGAAGTTGGTTCTGGCAGTCAATGGGATTGAAAGGCTCAACTTGGTCTATAACGTTCATCATTGTTGCAGTGGCCAATACAGAGGGGAGATAATGGACAGATCTTGAATCTACACACCCAAAAGAAAACATAATAGACCAAATGATGAGAAAAAAAAAACACAAAGGGTATCTTTTTTTTGTCCTTTTGGTAACTGTTCTCAATGAATCTGTCTTAAGTTAATATCAAAGTGAACTTGGCAGAGCAATAATGGAATGCTTACCAGAGATTACACAGAGGAGGAGACGCTCACATCTCCTTAGAAACTCCCAATGGAGATGAGTCCTCAGTCCAAGCCTTCTTATAATGTGATCAAGAAATGAAAGCGGTGTAATTGGATGCATCTTCCATTTCAAAGTGGAGAGAAGCAAAAGCTCCATTCTTTGAATAGTTTTGGCCTCAAAGACATATTTTGCCTCCTCAACCTAAAACGAAATGAAAACAATAGATGTCATGGACTCTCAAATTTAAGGATGACAATTTAAATGGAGCATGTTTGTCAAGATTGTTGTTTTGAACATACCTGTAGGTCTAGAAGAAGAGGCACTTGCGTCTCTTCAACTTTTGCAGCCAAAGAGAGACAAGTCACGGCTACAAGGTGGATCATCCAAGGCTTATCTCTTTGAAATTGAAAGCTACTTAGGAACCTATCCAGATAGTTAATGGAAAGTACAGCTGTAAGAGTGGTGAATCCGTAGCGAGCATTGACTTTTAGCATCCACTCAACGGCCTTACGGCGAGCCACTGCTAGAGACTCATCAGTTTCCACATTGTTGGGATTGAGATGAGCCGACTGTTGCTGAATTTCTTTAGAGAAGAGTGAAACAAGCTCCTCATCTTCCCAGACCAAATCTTGCTCCAACAAAAGTGGAAAAAGAGAAGCGTTCCTGGCATTTTTACAGGCTCTGGAAGTCTCTCCTTGTAAAACTTCCCCTACATCATTTTCATCCTCTTCCTCTTCCCATTTCTCTTCTTCACAGTAAAGAGCATCTAGCAAGAACGAAGGGTTGTTCTGTTCCTGTTGCTGTTGTGAATATTGTTGTTCATGTCGTTGTAATGCCATCTTCTTCCACTAAGAAGAAGAGGGTTTTGAGTCCACCTAGCTCATTAGACGAAAGAAAACAGCCATAAAAAAAAGCTGGCTAATAGCTGTAGATGGGGATAGACTATAGAGATTGGAGAAAGAGTAAAAGGCAGAGCTTAAAGAAAGAAAAAGAGCTGAGGGTTGATTTTTTTTTTTGCCTACACTTGTCCTTCTGTTTTAATCAATAAAATATTTGTATGTTTGTGAATTGTGAATTTTGAATTGGCGATGGGATTTTATATGTAATTTTACGTTTGGGAAAATCTTTTCTGTGCTTTCGGTGTATTTCGTTGACAGGCAGAGAAATGTAATGGCACACACACCAAGCTGGACCCCCATGAAAACTACTCTTCTTCTAGTTATTATGCCTACCAAAATAAAGATGCACTGTGCTTTACCATTCATCCTTGAGGGGAAAAAAGAAAAGGGAAAAGAGAGAGCTTAAGCTTGCAAATTGCAGTATTGAAATTTCATATTTCTACTGCTTTATTTTAAGTTTTAATGTCAGAATGACAAAACTTCAGTTTATTTAAACAACAAAAAAAAAAAATTTGCTGGCTAAAGATTACACAAGTAGCATAAAAAAAGACTTCAATGACAGATTAATGGTCCATGGCAATAATATTTTATGTTGAAAAGATTTGGCACGTTGTACTTTGGGGTCATTGATAAAACCACCAGCTTTTGTATTCGAGTCCATCGAAGTTCTCTTCGTTTAAGGCGAAAACGTCTATAACTCCAGGGGTCATTTCCCAAACCATGATTTTGATTAGAATAAGAAAAAAATTGTTTTCTTCTTGGACCACCTCTTCTAACTCATTGATACTATTTTTCCCTGTAAAATAGAGAGCCAGCCAGGGCTTGGCTATTCGGCAAAGTCTTTCCCTCAGATGGCCTGGCCCACTTAATCGTTACTATTTATATACGTTTAGCCTAGAATACAAAGATATTTAGGGAATATTTGAATCATGAAATTTTGAATTTCGAAAAAAAATATAATCCCAAAAAAATGTGATCCCTGAATAATTTAGGCTCTGTCCATTTTGTAAAAAATTATTTTTAAAATATAATTTTTATATTTTAAGATATTTATTTAATAAAAAATTAATTGATGGATGAAAAATAAGATAATTTTTTTAAAAAATTATCTTCTCCTTTTTAAAAAGATAAAATAATTTTCGAAAAAGAGCTGTGTACGAATATAACTATTTATAAATGTGTTTGAAAATAATTTTAATCAAATTGGACCTTATACATGATTTTTAAACTCAAATTTAATTTGATTTGATCCAAAAATATTATTATATCAAAAAATAATTCTTTATTTAATTTTGCTAAAAATTAAAATATTAATATAAATGTCTTTTAATATTTTAATTTTAAATATTTTTATAGTTTTACTCAAGTAAGATTTTGAATATAACATTTTAAATTCGAACTTGATTTGAATCGACTTAAAATATTATTATACTAATAAAAATAATTTATTTAATTTTAATTTAAAAAATTAAAAAATTAGCATTAATAGTCTTTTGATATTTTAATTTTAAATATTTTTATTTTGTATAACATAAACATAAATATTTTTAATATTCCAATGATAAATAGTATTATATTGTTATTTTAATAATAAATAATAACACATATAATAATTTTTTATTATTTTAATAATTAGTATTAAATAATATAATAATACTATTTTCTTAATATGAATATTTTTAATAATTCCTTATTGATTTTTAGTTTAAAATATATAATTTTATATTCTATTTATTATGGTATTTAATTTACTATTTTAATAATAAAAATATAGAAAAAAGATTTTTGTTAGATTTAATAATATATATTTTAATATAAAATATAAATATTTTAATAATAAATATTATTATTTTAATATTAATAAAATAAAAATTTAAGAATAATAATACTCTTTTAAATATTTTAAAATATTAATATAAAGAATAATAAATAGTTTTATTTTAAGAATTTTACATTAATATAATATTTTAATTAAATATTATTAAAATATAATTATTCTTGAATATTAATAATTTTAATAATAAAGAATTTCAATATACATTAATAATAAATTATTTTAATATTTTAATAATTATATTAATATTAATTGAAAAAAATAAAATTTTTAAAATTTAAATTTTAATACGTACTATCTATTTCTTTATTCCCAAATTGTGATTCCTAATACTTTAGTTTACTATGCTGTAAATCATTTATCAATAGGCATGGAAACCATCAGCAGCTGTTAATTACCCATCTCTACTTTTTCTTGTGCATTTTTTTAGATTTGGTTCTCAATTACATAACAGATCAAATCTATCTTTTGGAAAAAGAAAAACATCAAAGTGAATGATTCGGTACTGCCGACCTAATTACCTGTCTGATCAACTGTTTTTAACCGGTGTTGGCACATCAATTAGGGCAAACATTTTGATTCGCTTATCAATTCGTAGTAACAATTCTAACATTATTATTATTATTCTTCTTCTTTTTCTTCTGTCTAGTTTGCTTCTTTTCATGCAACGTGGTGGCAATGATGGCTATAACTACCACTGATATTTAGATTTTTGGATGTGAGATCTCATACATTTTGTGTAAGAACCAGCAAATATTGCAAGCCAGCTTCTAGATGTTTTTTTTTTTTTTTTTTCTGTATATATGTGAAAATTTTCTTACAATCTAAGTGATCGATGTCATTGTCGGCAATCAAATTTGTTGACTTCTATTGCAAACAGGAAAAGAAGAAAGTTGACTTTTATTGTAGATTTTTTTTTTGAATATTTTTGGATTCAAATTATAGAAAGCAATGAATTTTTTTTTATAAAAAAAGTCGTATCTTGAGGATAAAAAAAATTATAAATATTAAAATTTGAATGTAATATTTATTTATTTAATATTATCCGTTAAAAATGAATATATAAATCAATGTAATTAAATTTTGATTTTAAAAATTAAGATGTTATTCTATAAGTATTATCTACGTTATCAAAATTTTAAATAAGAACAAAAAACTTGGATGTAACATTCATCTTCGGAAAATTCTAAATTTAAAACCAACAAAGTCTAAAGTTTTGTTGCTTGATCATCACGGTGGATTGGTTCACAAAGTCAAAGCAGGAAAACATTAGAGAATATGTAACTTCATCTGCTCTGAAAGAAACCTGTTCGATATATTCACCCAATAATATCTTACATTGCTTTGAAAGTTTGAACTAAAAGGGAGAAAAACCAACCATCCCCAACTTATATATGTATAAAAAAAGGATGATCACTGGCCTGAGCTTGACATCTCTGACTCAATCCATCAATAAAAACAAGGTCCAACCACCCTCTTGAAATGGCATCCTTGGAAGAGAATGAGGTAGGAATGGAAGTTGTCGACAAACTTCATGGCTCCCACGGGCCACAGTTGCTTAGTGGGGGTACCCAACCAGGTGCTTGAATGTGACTTGTTCAATTCATTTTTAATCAATTTCCCCCAAATGTGTATCATCACTATTATAATGGAGAGAGTTTTGGAAGATTTCATGCTTTTAACCACATTCTTATTAATATTTTTTTTCACTGGTTAGCATTTGAATACAGCCTGGTTTGACGAATATAAGTCATAATTGCGATAATCAACGAAAAAAATAAAACTGTATTCCTGGAAGTACAAAGTGGAAACCGATTATTATTATTATTATTATTATTATGCATGCAACTGTGAAACAACTGCTTCATGTAATCGAGATCGTAGCTGTTTTGTCTTTCCAAAACAGATGATTACCACGAAAACTCTCAAGTACAGCTGTTCCATGGCAAACTCATAAAATTTGTCCACTAGCTGAACCTCATGCAAAACCATTGGGAGACAGACCTTGTACATAGACAAATACATGGACATTACCACATAGGATTTCGGGATATGGCTGTAGACAAGTTATTTTGCAAGAAGGTATAGTCTTATGCAGTTTGTGCTTGTTCGGAGAACACTCCACAATTCTGCACGTTGCGCCTTGTAAACTACATTCCTGGAGTACTGCACCTCGTAACACTTATATGCTATCAAATAATAGCATGATAGCATTTGCAAGGCCCATGCAACGTTTGGATGATGGACAGTGTACATTCATCAAGGCCGTTATGGTTAGCAGAGGAAAGTTTGGGCTTCTAGTAAGTCCTATTAGAACCTAATTTCACTCCCAGAAAAGGCCCGACAAGCCGTTCCCAATTAAAATAGGGAGATCTCACCATCCATTGCAAAATGATATACACCAAAAGTTCTAGCTCTTGTTTCGTCACTAGGATATCTAGAATTTTAAGTACTTTTTATGGTTACACGTGAAAGCGTAATGCATTTGGGTTACACATCCCAACCCTGTCTCAAAAGATTCGGACCTAAAGACGTCTAAGTTCTAATAATTGGAATATCTCCTCCTTGAGGATTTTTAGTACGGTGGTGGTGGTGGTGGTGGATAAAGGCCTGGAAAAGGACCTGATTGAAAAACAGAACAGAATTTCAGTATTATAATTAACATGCAATTAGTAGTATCAAAAGATATGTAACACACGAAGGAAGTCACCTGGGTGATAATAAGGTGAAGCAGGTGGATATGTAGCTGGGGGATATGCTGAAGGTGGGGGAGGGGGAGGGTATGCAGAAGGTGGAGGAGCATACATGGATGAAGGATATGAAGGATATGCGGGATATGGCGATGGAATTGGATATGCCATGGCTGGTGGTGGATAAGAAGCTGAAGTTGCTGGTGGAGGTGCAGAGTATAGAGGTACTTGATGAGGAGGGGCCGCATAAGGTGGTGCTGATGGAGCATATGTTGTGGCTCGGTTCTGCAACAATCCAAATGAACATTTAGTTACACTTGTTAGAATAATATCAATAGAAATGGAAAATAAAGTACGACAGATGGGGCTTACTTTGGCGTTTCCATAATGCATTATGAGTCGCACTTCTCCTGCAAATCTGCAATTTTAGAAAATTAAGAGTCAGTAGATGCTCACGGATGTTTGGCTAAAAGCACTCATTAAAACTTCTAATACACTAATATCTTAAGAAAAAACCACAAAAAAAACCACAAAATGGTGAATCACATGCTTCACAGATTTTTTTTCTGTTTACTGCATAAATTCAAACATACTCCTATATTTTTATTTTCTGGAAACAAATTGTATTTAGATTGCCATTCTGACTAACATACATGTACTTCCAAGAAAATATTACGGTATTCCAATAAAGTTATAAGTTAAACCACCATATATGAGAAACTATGAAAATAAATAAAAAACAGAAAATGGTTTTGACAACCCAAAAGTATGAAATATGATGTGAAATTAACTTAAAAGTTAAAACTAATGTAGATTTATTTGGTTACCTTCTAAATCTAGCTTCTAGTTTTCAAATCAATAAATTAGTAAAGTCACTAATTCTTGAAACCAATTTTCTCATATTGAATAACAAATAATGCTTTGACAAACTCAACTGCTATTGATGAAAATTAATGAGACCTCAAAAATTCAAGCAGAATACACCTTGAAACTAATGAATCCAATTTGTCAAAGCCAAAAAAAGCATGCTAGCTCACAATGACCACAACCCTAAAGGCAAAATGCAATTTGATGTCAAAAACAGTATGTACATCAATGGGGCAAGACATTTCTGTAACACATGTTTGACAGCAACTATGTGTCTATGCCACGAATAGAAGCTCTATTAAGCAATATCTTTGTGTTCGAGGACAACTGTTACATGCATACATAACTATGAGAACCTATTTTCTTCCCCAAACTGTTAAGAGTAAAAATGAAGCCCAAAGCAATAATGTTTCAATTTTAGCAGTAATTATAGCATAAAAGACATTACATCATTGCACTTGTAAACTCTAGAGGAGACTAGGAGAAACTAGAAACAACAGAGATTCCAGAGTTACATGGGGAAATATGGTTTCATAGCCAATATTGCTACAGCATTCAAAGTGATTAATATACTATCTAATTTGTAAGATAGCGGAAACATCAATCTCAAGTGCCATTAGATTTCAATTCACATTACCTGCCAGTTTTAGTCTGAAGCGACCAAGGACTATCATCATAGCCCTGAGAAAGAACCTTCTGCAATTGAACCCTGTAAACCAAAAATCCCAACAAAAACATTAGAACCAAAAACCAAAAAAAGGACATATCTTCTCAAAAGCCAAAGACTTTAAACACAATTTTAAGGAGAATTCTTACTTTCCGTTGCCAATGAAATCATCGTACGTTAAAGTATTGCTGTTCCAAACCACTAAATTTATCTCTCCCAGCCCTTCAATCAGCGTGAAGGTAAACTTCTCCTGGAATGTGGGCGTTTTGCCACCATCTAACGAAAACCCAAATTATATATCAGACTCCAGAGATCAATTTTCGACTAAGATCCCGTATCCCATATCATGAACAAAAAGGAAAAAAGTTTACATAAAAGGAGAGAATTACCTGTGCAGGTTCTTGTACGGTACTTGGTGCTACCATATTCAAGGCAAACGTAGGGATCTTGCCTTGAAATCCATTCAGTATCCTTCAATTTATTACATCCGACAACTGCCATAAGTCCATAACCAAAAAAAAAAAAACCCAGCATCAAAACAAACAGAGAAACAAAAAAATGACAAAAAAACATAAGAATTACCCAACAAAACAGAAAAGAATAATTAAAATTTTGAGAAACATACATACATACCAGTGACCTCAAGAAGGTGGCCTTGAATACCCGAAACCGGCATGGAATACTATGAAGAAAAGTAGTGGGATAAAAATTGGACAATTGTTACACAGAACGACTAAAGGGCTATCCCTTTTATAAAGTAATAAATAAAAGATAGGTACGGGGAAAAGGACAAGAAAAATGAGTTTTCCCGAGTAACAATGATTAGATAATCCGCGTATAGTTTATTCCTTAATTTAGGCGTTAATGGTGGTTTTTTTTTTTTGTCTGCAGGGGTATCTTCCTTGTAGTTTAATACGTATAAAAGTACGAATACGAAAAAAATTTAAATTAAAAAAATGGATATTGTTGTTTATTATATTTTTATATTTTTTAACATTTATTAAATTTATTGTTATATAAATCAATCCTTATAAAAAAAAACTACTTATTAAATTATTAGACTAATCAACTTCATCAATAATAAATTAATTATTAAAAATTAAAATTCTATCAATTTTAATTTAATTTCATGTTTTTATTTTATTAAAATAAAAAAATAATTAAATTTATATATCAATATTAAACTTAAAAATTTCAATTCAACTAGTTTTCTACTATTCAACTTTATCAAGTATGTATTAATATGAATTAAAAAATCCTATTAAATTTTAAAATACTTCTTAGACGATAAAGATTACAAAAAAAAAAAAAAACAAAAGTCCAACCTATGAGTGGGAAACTACAAAAAATTAACAGCGAAGAGGCTCTGGCAAATGACAATGAAATTGGAGAAAAAAAGTAAGACAAGAATCCTTTTTTGTGAAGACAAAAACGTAATCACCCGAACAAGGAGAGACAAGACAGGAACCAGGTCAAAATCCAACAGCAAAAGACAGATTAAAATGTTTTTTGCTGATCTTGATTTGACATTGTCTGTTGATCCTACAGATAACAAGAGAAAAGAACAAAACAAGCAATTGTTCCAAGCTATCACGACAAACGCTGCATAACAAGTAGATATATAAATGCAAATGGCAAACTAATTTTCTTCATTGAATAATGAAACCAATTCCATTAACTTTAATTCACCATTTAATGCAGCGATTATTTTAACATCCACGTTATAATGCTACAAATGACTGTGATAATGATACAAATGAAACGAATAAGATTGAACATTACTATTAGGCACGTGTATAATTTGCAAACCAATTTATGTACAGAAAGTTTGACATCAGCCCTAGCTTACTCACTTTCATAGTCTTCATCATCTCCAAAAGTGAAAACAGATGCATCAGCAGCCATTGCCTTAAATTCACTTTCTGAGCTGGAAACCTGAACACCTGCAGCAGCAGTTGCAGCAGGAGCAGCAGGAGCAGCAGCACCAGCAGCTGCAGCATCTTTTCTCGGCTCACTAGTGGTGTGCATCTGTTGGGAGTTTGCACTTCCTAAAGAAACTTGTTCAGTATAATGCACCAAACTTGCAACTTGATCAGAACTGGTATTTGTTTCTGATTTGGAGGTGGCTGAAGGGGCAGCTGCTCCCTCAGCAGATTTTGCCTTATGCCGTCTGCTCTTTGATGAACCAGATTCTTCTGCCTCACTGTCTGAGAACACATCATCTTTGTCATTATGTCCAGGGTCTTTGTTTTTGCTTGATGGGGCTGCACTTCCATCAGTGGATGCAGCACCGGTCCCTGAGCTTTCATCTGGCTTATTGGTGGTAGTTTCAGTCTGGGGCTTTGTTGGAACAGTGCCATTATAATCTACTAGCACAACCTCAACCTGGAAACCTGGGGATGGCAATTTCCTCTGCACATATTACCCAAAAGAAGCCAGTAAAATCAGAAAAGACACTATTTGGGCCAGAAAGAAAGAAAGATCCTAAGTCATGATGACAGAACATCACAAATAAAAGTATCATCTCATCATAACACATTTCACGTTTTACCTTGTCAAACCAATCAAGATCACCGGTATTCAGAGTTTTTCTGTTTTCAATCATTATTGTGTTTAACCAACTGATAAATCAGAAGGACAGAATCACAAAAACGATCAGTTACAAATCATAAATAGGTGGCAAGGAGCTAATTCTCTACAGAGGAGGCTAACAACAGACCAGTAAAAATCTCCTTGCCGATCATGAAATTGAATTTTAAAGTCCCCAGCCAACTCAGTCAGGCCAGGTTCCCCAGGCAAAGCAAAGACCATAACTCCTTTCTTTGGTGCGCTAAACCAAAAATCTTCTGGCTGTGAAGAACAATTACATGCTAATTATTTCAAATTGGCATAACGATGCTCAGAGCTTCAAAACAGCATTTTTTAAACGTATGGGTGGTGATCATAATAATTACACAAAACAATCTAACAAACATACTGAAAGATCCTTGGTACGTGGATGCTTCTTTGTGGAGAAGAGAACACCTGTGCAGAAAGAGTAATGAAGTTCATCATGATTTAATCTAGGTTAAGAGCTAAGACGGCTTGACTATGACAACACAATGACCACATGTCACTTGTTAATTTTCCATGCTTTCTATCTCTTGGATTAAGTAGCATAATTAAATTGAAAACGCCACTGTACTAGTTTTGTAACCAGAGACAAAGATTGCATAAAACTTTGGGTCTGCACCTTAAACATAAGAAGCAAATGAAGTCAACAATGAACTTATGGGATTGCACGCTTAGCTGTTATTAGGAAGAATCAAATACAAAACAATAGTTTGAGATTACAGTTATAAATTTAAACACATTTATGCCATACCACAAAACAACACCAGTTAATATGATTTTGCAATACTAGTGAGTGCCTGGAGCCCTAATAGTCGAGGCAGAAATCTCATCTTCAAGTCTATTCTAAAGGAAGGCCAAAAAAAGAGTCTATCCCAGGGAATTTGTTTATGTACCAAGAACATCTTATGTATCAATAACACACCCAAATGCAATGAGAAGTTCAGCATAAAGAACAATAAGAAAGCACAAGTCATCAATCAAATAAAGAAACCTATTAGCGGACAAAAAACAACACCATTATGATCAGAGACAGTGATGGAGGGCCTGATCCAATAAGGGCAACGATGAAGCCGGAATCCCCTAAGCATGCATCTGTATAGAAAGTGAGGTCAGCACTAATATGAAGGCCAAAGATGCAATATAAACATGGTATAGCAAGAGAATACCTGCGCCCAGGCTGGTTTTCACCATTGAAGTATGTTAAGGTACGTTCAAAGTATTTGACATATCTCTACAAAACATAACAAGAAATAAAGGCAAAGATAAGAAATAAACAGCTTGCCAGAGACCCAAAAAAATCCTGAAAATACAACTCCTCACAGAATATCATTAGAAATCAGTTGCTCACAATTTGACTTGGCAGAACAAGCGCTTTTCCATCCACACATCTTTTCTGGTTGTAGTAGTCAATTGACTCTTCAGCAGTGGGGAAGAACTGCAGAGGGATAGCAAATAAGTTATAAAAGCAGAATAAACCATTGTGACCAAGAAATGTGAAGCTACATCAAATTCACTAGCATTTCTTCAAGAACACGTTCATTGAATCAAACCTTCAAGTATAGAAGAAGGCTAGAGATCATCAACCCAGTCCTTGCCATCCCAGCTTTACAGTGCACAACCACAACATTCTCAATATCCTCCTTCAGCCATGAATAAGCACTTTGACAGAAAGATATTATTAATTGAATTGGGGGGCAATTATGGTCATCGAATGGGAAACTAGCCACCTGAAGAAAAAGTTTTATACAAATATAAGAAGATGGTAAATGTATATTTCACATAGGTCATCCTACAGTCAGTTTTAGTTGATTTGAATTTCATCAACAGGCTGTATTAGCTGTCATGAATGCATCAATGGAAAAGAAAAGATGGTGAAGCTTCATCAAAGTTTGGGTAAAATTGACTCTTCCCAGGAATAATCCTCTCCTAATGACTGATTTTCATCATTAACTGGAATAGATTCCTCCCCATCCCGTGACATTTCTATTGACAAATAGTATAGCAAGAAATTAGTGGTTGATTTTATCATCTTGAGTTGAACTTTTTTTGTTTCTGATTTTTCCACAGGTCCAACCAAATGGGGTCTTTAATCTCTTTCTAATGTCAACATAGAGCAATATCATGGTTATTTGGTTAAGAGATCTCTGGGGTGATAAAAAAGGGTTCCTTTTATCAAAGCTAAATGATAGGTACATGGCATACAAAAACCAGCTAACCACAATTTAAGAAATAAGCCCAGGTGAAATATTAGAAGTAATCATATTCCTGCGTGAGTTCCTATAAAAATCATAGCATACCTTTCCTTCAAATAATGAAGCATCATATAGTCTCTCAGAGCAAAGGTTATATACTTTGTATTTGCCCTGCATATAGAAAGTCAATTGATTTAAGGACCAAACAGTATAATGCATAACAATGGGTCAAGGATGAAACATACACATATATTAATAAGAGACAAAAAGGCCCCTTCAATCCCAATCTTTTCTTTTGAGTAATACAAACAAATATTCAGGAACAAGGGCTTTAACTGCCCCAGCAACCTCAACCAACAAGGTTCATAAAAATATTGAAGGAGAGGTGAACATAATGGGAAAAAGGTATAGGCCAGAAAGTTGACGATAGTATTGTAAAGTTTCTTTTTAAACACAGACAACTGATAAAGCAGGCATAGCACAGAGCAAAGTAAATGCCGAGCCAGTTATCATGCTCAAAGAGCAGAAAACATATTAAAAGAAAAGGCAAGAATAATCTCTCTCCACCAACATAAATCAAAATCAGTATATCAGTATTTAAATAAGTTGTTCTGCTGACACACACACACACACACACACACACACACACCCCTTATCATTGTTGCACTCAGTCGGGTAAGATGTTTAACATATCACAAATACTGACAAAACCTTACAAAATAGACACAGGCTCTGTTTGTTTTGCAGAAAATGACTTTCGGAAAATAATTTCCACATTTTCACGTGTTTGTTTAACAGAAAACTGACTGGTCAACGGAAAATAACTTACTGGTCAATGAAAAATCAAACCATTTTTCTGGAAACTGTCTTACGGATTTGAAAAGAAGAAGATATTTTTCGGAAAAAAACTGTCTATGAGTATAACTATTTATTAATATTTTTTAGCATAATTTTACTTATAAATAATATTATATAAATAAATAAATATTATATTAATAAATAATATACTATTAATATAATATATTAATAAAAATATTAATATAGAATATTATAATATATTCATAAATAATAAATAATATAATATTAATAAATAATATTATAGTAATATTGTAATATATTAATAAATAATATTAAAAATAATATTAATTTAATAAATATTATAATAATATAATATTAATAAATAATATTATAATATATTAATAAATAATATAGAGAATAATAAATAGTTTTATTTTAAGTATTTTTTATATTAAATATTATTATAATATAATTATTTTTAATATTAATAATTTTAATAATAAATAATTTTTAATATTTTAATAGTTATATTAATATTATTTGAAAAAAAAAAGATTTTCCATAAAACAACCAAACAACGGAAAATATTTTTCATTAAATCATCCAAACAATAGAAAATTTCTTTCAATTCAGAAAATGTAAATATTTTATAGAAATCATTTTTCGGAAGTCATTTTTTGCGAAACAAACATAATCAAAGTTTTTATTTTCATTCAACTTATGAGGACAGCACAAGGTTCCTGCCATCTATGAGGTAATAAATGGTAAAGCAACAACAAAGAAATGGTTTTAGAAAAATCAAATCATCTTAGTCAATTATTATATGCAGCCATCATAAGACAAAATTTGATGTAAAAAATTTTAAAATAAAAGCACATGCATTTGGGGAGAAAACCAAAATGTAAAAAAAATGATGCAGGGAGTGGCAAATTATATATCAATAGACATGTCATTACCTTGTGATGGGTTTCAAAAAACTTAATCACTTCTTCCATGTGATTTCGATATAACCCCTGTATCATCGAAATTATAGAATTTTAAGGCTAATTATAAAAATATAGCCAAATTCAACCATTGATTAGTTCAGCTACCTCAACAAATCCAAAAAACCCAGAGCTCATGTCACCAGCAGGGAACCCCATAGCAATTATGTTCTCTGTGATGTATGTCATATCTAAGTCAAATCCTCCTTCCTAAAGTCAAGGTGCACAGGTAAGTTTACAAATATTGAGATTCAAATCATAGTAAAAGACGACAAATACAAGATATGTCACATATGAAATTCTTCATTTTACAAAAAAATGAAAGGCTGGGGATACATCTCTATGCTAAGAGAACAGTATAAGCCCCACCTGGTATCTCCTTTTGTTCTGTGAAACAACATGGCGAGCCTTGACCTGTACAGCTTTCACTGCATTTTTAGATGAGTCGACTATGCCTTTTGTAATTGTTCCAAGAAAACCAGGTTGTGTAGTTGTTGAAGCCCCATCAGAACTATCCTTAGCGGGAGGAGATTTCAGAGGCGAGCGCAGCCCTAGCCCACTAGTAAACCGTGAAAAAGTTGATTTTCCATCATTTCCTGTTGGTGAGTCCTCTTGTGAGGCAGCAAAAGGCTGAGGAATTTTTAAACTTTTAGCCCATGACGGCAGCTTTGATGGTGCATCATGAATAGAATTACTTGGTCCTGAATCTGTGGCAGCAGGAGTTTGTACATCAGGAGATTTAACAGGAGGTGAACTTGTTGAGTCAGCAGGTACATTATCCATTTGCCGTTGCAGAGGCCTCAATAATTATTGAAGGTCAAGAGTTCATAGACCCAGCATATGAGAAACCAGTTTATTGTACTCAGAATTACAACTGCAAGCATAAGGTATAAGTTCAGCCAAAAAATAGTAAATGCTATGTAATAAACATGGACTTCTTGTTCTTCCTGCCGTAACTAACAAAAATCATAAATTTCTAAATACCATATTCATTTGACATAATGCCCAAAAGCAAGTAATATACTAAGAAGGAAATGTATAAAGTAAAATAGCCATGCAATTCTACTACTCTTCTCGGGTCTACATTATGCATTGCAATTCATGCCTTGCCAGTCTCTTATCCTCCAGAGAAACAAAGAAGGAGCCAAAAGACATAACTGCATTAACCCAAGGTATAGAAGGAGTCACTGTTGGATTTTTTAGTTTGTGCATTCATTTACAAAAGAAATTCCAATTGCCCAATATTAACAAGTAATAAAAGCCAGTGATTACAGCATGTTAGGCAAGCAACTGTTCGTACCGCATTGAAGCAACTTATGTCAGCCCACAACCAAATTCATTAAGTTAACAGGACAAGTAATTATGCAAAGTATTAATTCAACTGATCCAGAAATCAGTAAAACTGTGTGGAAATTAGAAACTAATGTAAAACAGCAACTAATATAACTGTTTCAAATGTGGGATTAACATATTATCAGCTTAGCACCCTGATTACTTACTGATTAACAAACAACAATCACTGATTTTTCACTCCAAAGATCAAAAGACTACATTCCGTTGCTATCTACAATTACATTTAACTCTTCAGCATCGAATCAAAATCAAATCACAATTTTAGCTCCCAAATCAAAACCAATCAAAAAAAGAATATAAATCAAACTTCGAAAACTCAAATAGTTCAAAACCTAACACTGAAATAAAAGAAACCATCGATCGCCTTCAAAAGATCTACGGCAATGGTCTTACCTTGTATCGAGACTACGGAAAAAACAGAAGCAGGAATTGCAAAACCGGAACCTTTTAAAAAAACGTAGGGTTTCTAGATTTAACACGGCAACGGAAAGAGAAAGGGTGACTGAGACTGGCGCTTCGCAATTTGAAGGTGCTGGTTTTTCCGTCGCTTCACGTGCTTTCCGTGGTCAACGAATCTGGACCGCTGATTTGGCGGAAATTGTATTTAAGATCGAAGTTGGACGGTAGGAAATCATGTTTTCCCAATTAAGAATCTTGTGTACGGCTCATACCAAGAGAAATGATCCGCCTCCGCCGTCTTGATCTAATCTCTTTTGGATTTTTTGTATGGCCCCACATTTTCTTTCATTTTTTTTTCTTTTTTTAATCTATTTTCCATATTCTTTCTTTATTTTATGTTTTATGAATATATCAAAAATATTTTTTTTTCTCTAAAACTTTCAATATTCTGTAATTATTTTAGATTTCGAAATTAAATCGGATTAATTTTATAAGGGAGGCAAATTTTTTTAATTTAATTTTTTTATTTATAAAATTTGAAATCAAATTTTAATTAAAAAAAATTAAATTTTGTATCATTCAAATCAACAAATATTGATAAATATATTAAATTATTAAACTTTAAAAACCACCCAAAAAATCCATATGAAAGATATGCTCTGAGCCTTCTCTTAAAGCATCTCTTTGCTTCTTCTTTCTCTTTTTTATGGGAAAGGATCGAAATTATATTTTTTAAGAAGTTTTTCTTCTTTTCTTGTTATAATCGCATTCAAGGTTTTTTGTTTGTTTTATCTTATGAATTGCAGAGTTAGACACAGACAGATTAATATGTCTGTATATGTGGAAGAAATAGCTATGCTAGGTATCATTGATCAAGAAAATATTAATAAAATACAACCACACGTCCATATACAATGTAACACATTAGTTTTACCTTGCTGCTATATTTAATAAAAAATAATATATTAATATTCATAAATTATTTGAATTTGATTCAAATAAAATTTAAATTTGATTTAATTATTATCGAGTCGAATTTAAATTCGAGTAGTTTAATTTATCAATCAAGTACAATTCAAATATTTTTATATCTAATTTAAGTTACTTGTTAGTCTAATCAAACTTTTATATTTTAATATATTTTAATTGATAAAATATATTGAATTTAAATTCAAACTCAATTATAAATAATCAAAATTTTATCAAATATAAAAATCAAATTTATTTTTACATATTAATTAAATCTAATTGAATGAGCTTCAGTAACTCAATTTTTATCTTAAATTAAGCTCAAACTAAAAAAAAAAAAATTTGATCAAATTTGAATTAAATTTCAAATCTCAAATTTAAAATCAAATTTAAAATCAAATTTAAATTCAAATTTAATATTATATTGAATTGAATTCAATCTATTTATAAAATTAAATGTTAAAGAGATTGGTGAGATTTGAAGTGTCCACGTCACCTTTTAAAATATTTTTTTAGTTTCATATTATTTTTTATTTCACTTTTTTTGTATTTTTTGTATTTTCTTTTTATTTTTATTTAATTAATAGAAGTCCTATTTTGAGTCATGTCAATCACTTTTGTTATTTTTTTTCCAAAATTTTAAAAAATTTTAATTTAATTGATAATGGGTTCTATGTTAATTTTTAAGAAAATGAAAAATTAGTTTTTTTATAATAAATTTATTTAATAATTAAAGAAATATTAATTTTAAATTTGAAAAAAATAATAAATTTTTATCTTAATATTTAATTAAATATAAAATTATTATACTTATGTCTATTTTTTGTTTACTTTTTTTTGTTTTTATATATATTTTGCCTTTTTTTTTGTTCACTTAGTTTTATTTTACCTTTTATCTATTCTTTCACCTTTTTACATTTAGATGATTAGTGTTTTATCTCAAAAAGAAAATTGTGATTGAAAGAAATTATGATATTGGGCGGGTGAGGGAAGTTGATGACAAACAAACTTTCAACTTGTTATTTGCTTTTTTTTTATTTATAATTTTTTATTTTAAAAAATTCATAATTTATACAATTAAAATTTTAAAATTTTTTTTAAATTATGAGAATGTGATTTTTTTTTATTTTTTTCTCTTTCTTTTTCAAATATCATTTTCTTTTTGATTACTTTCAATGAATACCAAACATACATAATTTTTTTCACATGCCACCCCTGTTATTAATCCATTAAAATTTTATATTCAAAATCCATAAAAATATATTTTATAGATTTTTAAGCAAAGATAGACTATCCACGTGTCAATCTGGAAACAAAATTCAAAACAATTTCTGAATTTAATAAGTTGATTGGCTGTTGACACTTAAACAGGTTAATTGCTCTTATTTAATGTGAATAATAATTTTCTATTATTAAATTATGCTATGATGAAGACAAAGAGAAATAAATATGGTTTTTTTTTTCACATGTAATATTCATAGGTGGCCTAACATAATTAAAGAGCATAAGGGGTTAGGGCTAAAAAAAATGCTTACTTATTATGTACTTGCTTATTAATTAATTTTTTAATATTTTAGTATGAGTGAGGACAGATTAAATGCATGCTATATTAAAAGTACAAAGTGGTGGTGATTATTAATTAATACATTATATATTTCATTGAAAGTATATATTTAATATATTTTATTATGATTTTGCTTATTATTTCACTCATATATATTTTATATATGAGTTGGCCTTGATTGTGTGTTTGCTTATTAACTTAAATGTATGTTTCTTTATTTATGTAGTTATTTGAAGTAATTATCTATCGTGATTATGCATGAACAGTTGACTTAAGTTATTATTATTTTGGGTCATTTTGCTCCTATGCTCTGCTCCTTGAATGGATTAGAACTTAAAATATTTATGCAAATATTGATATTTGGGAAAAGAAAATAAGGTATCTACTTCTTAATAGACCATAGGCCTAATGGGCCTATAGTCATTCACTCTCTAATCTCTATATTTCTGGGTCTCAGGCGTGTGAACTGTGAAGAAACCTTGAGCTGGGTAGTGGGGTTGAGGTCCTTCAAGCTGATTGTTACGTGTAATAAATTAAATATGGGCTTCGGTCATCGTCTGTCTAGTTGCTTTAACCCATCGACCATTACTTTCACAAATTTGTCTAAACCCACTTGTCATGTGGATATACACCTGCTGAATTATTGATTTGGGTTGTTCACTTGTTCTGCATGTGAAGTCGAACTGGCAGGACCATGGAAAAGCAGCATCAGCCACTGGGCAACCGGGGCTGCAGTCTTCAAGTATTTATTCCAGGGGTTGTACAATCAAAGCTACCAGCCTTGATGAATTTAAGACCCATTTTCTTGTGAAGTGGTGGAGCTACAGTTCTCACATCCCAATGGCAGGCCAGTTTCCATGTAAGGGAATTTTATCATGTGTATATCGAATTGAAAGCCCAATTTTCTTCAACTTTCAATTGTTTGAGATAAGAAGGAAGCATTAAGTTGACTGATGTGAATGGTGGCTTTGACACCAGCTTTCCCTTCCAAATAGTCTGGCCATGTCCATGAGCCAACTGTGGAAAGAACAATATATGAAGGGAATGTGGTACTGATTCCATTTGGGCTTGTAGGAAAGAAAATGAAGGTCAATTTGAAAGGTTAAAAGCTGTGGAATAACCTAGACTAAATTTCTTATTTTTGACACTTACACAATGAGAAAAAAGTGAAATATCTATTAATCTCTTGGCTGAGACTGCCACATCCATTTTGCTTCTTAATAACTTTCTGCTTAAGTTTGAGTGCTCTTGTTCTATAGCTAGCCTTGACGGTAATTGCTATATGGGAAAGACCCCATAAATCGTAAAACTCACTCTTCTCTCTCTAATCTCTATCCAAGATGAAAAATGGAAATGCTACAGCTCTCCCTTCTCACCCATTTTTTTCCCATTTGTTTCTTAATGGTAAATGCAGAAATTGAAACGGCTAGCCTTAATTTTTCAAGTATTGTCACTATCCTTTCATTGCCCCCACGTGAATTTTTCCGTACAGCGTTAAAAGTTATAACACGCCCTTTTTTTTTTATTTGAAAAACTTTAATTATTGCAATTAAAAATTTAGTATTATATTAACAGACCATATAGCTATTGCCATTTGGCGAACCAGAATGTCTTAGAGTTTAAGATTGCAGTTTTTCATATGTAACTGTAATACAATACATTCCGACTGCTTCTTCTATCTTGTGTTCTTTTAAAAGAAAATTTCCTTGAATGGTGTTGCAAAATATTAATATCATTGATTGGCTCCTTGGTCGTTAGTGGTTTTCCCATCAAATCAACGTTTCTTTTGGTTTACCCCACATATCTTGCATAAAACGAATTGGCAAGAAAGATAAAGCAGTATTAATTTGATATTATAAACTGGGATTTCTTATAGATTTCTTATCTTATATTTAGAGATTAATGTACTTGTTCCGTTTGAAGAGGGATTATAATTAGAAGAATATTGAAAAGGAAGAAGCTTTTGAAGTGGGGTTTTCTTTTCTTTTGTTAAATATTTTTGTTAATAGCTTTTTTTGCTTTTAAAAGTTGATGGTAAGCCTTTGTTTTCTTCCTTTTTCTTTTGTTTGAAATTGTCTCGGCATACTTTTTGACTCGTAACGTTTACGTCGAGCAAAAATGAAAAAGCTTTTCTTTTTGAAATAGATGATCCACTAATCACTGTTTTCAATAAACTAATGATAAAATAAAGCATGTCACTGTGCTGTTCCTTTGGATAGAACCTTTCGACAGTGGTGAAGATTAACTTACCTCAATTATGGTCTACTTCTTTCCCTACTTATATCCGACCCTACTTTTTGGGCATTCTCTCAAGGATCCTGTGAAAGAAAAAAGAAAAGAATGCATACCCTTTCTTTCTCTTCATTCTTATTGTTCACCGTCATTTTTCATTTGTGTTTGCATCACGAGGTGGCTTGTGAGGATCCATTGATTGGGACAAAAAGAGAAGCATTAGAAATAGTCATTGGTAGGGGTGGTGAAGCTTCTCCCCCTTCTACTGAAAAAGAGGACTGTATTTCATACCCTCCTCCTCCCCCGCCTGAACCCAAATGTCCACCACCACCCCATCCACCTCCGCCTCCACCGCCTCCGCCTCCACCACCTCCATGTAAGTTCCCGACCGCAAATGGCTGCTTTGAAAACGCGCGACTTGCAAAAGCTCATGACGTAATCCAAAAGTTCAAGGAGAGAATCCACGTTGATGCTAATAGCATCAAATACATAGAGACATGGCAAGGCAACGACGTTTGCAAGTACAAAGGCTTCAGCTGTCGAAAGCGTCCTGACGTGATGGAAAAAGCAGTTGCTGCAGTACACTTCAATGGTGCTAAATTTGCTGGGCGTGATGGTTCCCTTCCCCTTGATGATTTCATTGATGAGTTAGACGATCTAACCATATTCCATACCAACTCTAACAACTTCACTGGTACAGTACCTTTTGGAGTATCCAAAATTAAATACTTGTATGAGCTTGACCTTAGCAACAACAATATATTTGGTGATTTCCCCATGGAAGTTCTTGGTGCCTTGAATTTAACCTACCTAGACTTAAGGTTCAACTCGATTAAGGGGGTCGTTCCACCACAAGTGTTCAAATTAGATCTTGATGTGCTCTTCATCAACGACAACAACTTTGAACAGAGGCTTCCTGATAATCTCGGTGACACACCAGTTCTCTATCTCACCTTTGCCAACAACAAGTTCACTGGTCCTATTCCACCAAGCATTGGCAGAGCTCGTAACCTGTTGGAAGTGCTTTTCCTCAACAACCATCTTACAGGGTGCTTGCCGTATGAGATTGGGAATCTGAGTCAAGCCACTGTGTTTGATGTAGGCAATAACAATTTAACAGGCCATATACCATACCCGTTTGGGTGCTTGAAAAATATTCAGATACTCAATTTGGCCAATAACGAGTTCTATGGGGAAGTACCGGAAATAGTTTGCCAGCTCTCTAATCTTCAAAACTTCTCTTTGTCAAACAACTATTTCACTCAGGTTGGCCCTTTTTGCAGGAATTTAATTTTGAAAAAGAAACTCGATGTCAAGAACAACTGCATTTTGGACCTCCCGTCACAAAGATCAAAAGCTGAGTGTGCTGCATTTTTCTTAAGAGCACAGTATTGCGAGAGGAATGAATCATTCAAGTGTGTTCCTTCCATAAAAGATGGTTATAATTATTCCAATTCAACGGGGAAATCAGATCAAGAATCAACTGCTTCTGTCCCATCCGGTAGAACTTATAGCACTCTTATTCCTCATCGGCTGTGACTTCCATGCTTTAGATGGACCTCATCAAGAACATCATGCTGGGTCATTGGCTACTTAAGCGTATATCTCTGTGCTGATACTGTCTGATATTTGATGCAGAACTTCAATGTATTAAATTTTTTAGTGAATAAATCAACATCCTTTTTCCTTCTAATTAAGAAGCCCTGTTTCCTTAAACATCCAAATTGCTTGCTTGCAAGAAGATAAGTTTTAAAAAAACTAGTTACAGGTTCAATCAAGTTCATAATTGCAGAACCTACTTGAAAGCTACGGTTGCTGTCTGTATATGTCTTTAATAAAAGTTTTCTCCAACATTTGGGACACTCGATTTTAATAAAGAAAATGCCCGAGACTTTTTTTTTTTTTTTCGATCTTTTTCTTTTCAGCTTTCACACTTGGATTAATGATTGAATTACACAAAAAAAAAAAAAGTAATCCCCTCATTTAATTCCATCTTGCACTGAAATTTCTTTTTTTGTTAAAAAGTGCTATCAAATCACAAGAATTTTGAGGAAATTTGCTTATTTTCTTTAAATATTATAACAAAATTGACTCTGCTGTCCGGTCACTGGTGTTTACAGAGTGCAAATAGAGGGGTCCACTTCTTAATGCCGACAGTTGTAACTTGTAAGAAGCAATCGACTCTTCAATGCCCTGATTGATTACTTAATTAATGCAAGTCCTTGCTTGCTGCATGGGTCACTCAGGAGTCAAGAAAAGAAAAATAAAGCCGAAAAATGTTGTCCTATTTCTCAGTGACTTTGATTACTTTTTGTTAATTTTGTTTTGATATTTTTTTCTGTTAGTCTATATATTTTAATTATATCAAAATATAATATATTTAAAGATAATTTATTTTATTCAATTTAATATAGAGTAATATCAATTATTTTTATTTGTTTTGATGGATTTTAATGAAATAAATTATTTTGATTGATATATGAAAATAAAATATATTTTATAATTTTTATTATTTAATTATTTTTAATTTAATAAAAATAAAATTAATAAATAAAACAACTCGTGAAAGTTAAATATTTTTATTTTTTTACTGAAACGTATTTTTTATATTTTATTTTTTCAAATCAAAATTTATAAATATTTAAATCTCTTTCAAAAAAACAAATATACTTTCTCTCTAAAGTTTAAAATTTTAAAATTAAAATTATTTTTCATCTTTTTATTTTTATCTTAATATATTTTTATATTAAAAATAAAAAACTTATTTAAATATCATATGATCAAATTAAGTATTTAAAAAATTAATGATATTATTTATTATATTTTTAAATTTATTTATTTTGTTTTTTAAGATACAATATATTTATTTTGTATATTATTAATAGTATTATATGAAAAAGGAGAAAATAATGAAAACTTTATTTTAATGACTTGTCTATTACAATAAGACTTAAAAGTCTATTTATAAAGAGATAAAATGTTACAAAATAAAAAATACAATTAATCGAAATAATGACTAAATAAATTCTTATAACAAACTAAATCACTATCTAATATTCTTTAAATTAATATCAAATCAATCTAGAATATTGCTAAAATATTACTAAAATAATAACCTCTGTAAAATCAAGATGGTAGTGTAGAGACCAACTTAAGTTTAAAAACTTGGACAAGAAATTGATTAGGTGGATGTGATTTAGTAAAGGTTTTTGCTTTTTTATTAGCATTGGTAACAAGAACAAATCAAAGAGTTTGAGAAAGCAAATGATGACGAAGAAAGTGACAATTAATTTCAATATGTTTAGTACACTCATGAAAAATATCATTGTGAGCTATCTAAATGGCACTTTAATTATATCAAAATATAGGATTACTAGAGTGATGAGAAACACCTATATCATGAAGTAGCTATCATAACCATAGAAGTTCTAATGTGGCATCTATAAAAGCTCAATACTTAGCTTTAATGTTAGAGCAAGATACCATAGTTTATTTTTTACTTCACCAAGAAATAAGAGAAGAATAAAAAAAAAAAAACAGTAGCCTGTTGTAGAACAACGATCAGTAAGATCTTCTGCCTAATTTGTATTATAATAACAATGCAAGTCTAAGAAGGAACTAGAGGAAAAATGCAAACCATGAAATATAGTACTCTTGACATATCATAAGATTCGAAAGACTGTAACAAAATAAGTAGATTGAGGAGGAGACAAAAATTGACTAACTAGATGAACAACATAGGCAATGTCTAGACGAGTAACTATCAAGTATATGAGATTACCCACTAAAGTTTGATACAAAAAAGGGTCTGAAAGTGGTGTACCATCAGAAGGAGAAAGTTTCAAATTCTATTTAAGTGGCAATGATGCAATCTTGTTATCAGTTAAACTTGCTCAAGCAATAAGATCAAAAGTATACTTTGTTTGAGACAAATATAAGCCGGTAGAATCACTAATGATTTCAAAGCCTAAAAAATAACTTAAAGGACCAAGATCTTTCATCTCAAACTTAAAATGAAAAAAATTTTTAGATCTTGAATACTATTTACATCATTACCTGTAATGATCATATCATCCACATAAAGTAAGAAAAGTAGTACCATTTTTGGTAGTTTAAGTAAAAAAGATAAAATTATGATTATTAGATATAAAATCAAGTTGTGCAATAGTGATATTAAACTTTGAGAACTAAGCTTTAGGGGTTTACTTAAGACCATATAAAGCACATCGAAGATGACAGACTATGTTGAAAGGTACAGATAAACCAAAAAATGGCTTTATATAGACTTCATCGACAAGATCACCATTCAATAAGGTATTTTTAACATCAATTTGAAATGTTAACCACTTTCTAATTACAGCAATAGCTAATAGTGAATGAACAGATGTGAGACGTGCAATTGAGGTAAAAGTCTCTTCATAGTCAATGTCATATTCTTAGGTAAATTATCGAGCAACAAGACAAACTTTGTAACATTTCACTAACCCATTAGATTTAGTTTTGATCTTGTAAACCTATTTACAATCAATCACTGATTTATCAGAAGGTTGTTCAACAATATCCTAAGTATAAATTTTTTTAAGTGCTTGAAGCTCTTCTGCCATTACTTGCTACCATATAGGATAAAAGACATCTTCATGAAAATTATGAGGTTCATATAACGTGGCTAAAGCATAATAATAGTAAAAATCACTAAGTTGAGTGTTGGGCTCTCTTACTTGGGTGAAACGATGAAGTGGAGGCGATATGTATAGGGAAGAGACAATTGTATTAATAGAAATCTCAGTTAGATCAGATATAATAAGAGTGAAAGAAGACGGATCACTGTTTGAGTTAGAAGTACCTATAATAATCTTTTTGTTTGAAGAAAAATCAAAAGATGAATCTGTAAAAATACATAAAGAAGAACATGGTGAATGTAATGAGGACACATTAGTGAACTTTTTATGTTTCCAAATAATTACATGTCTTGGGATGCGAATACATTTAAACACTAAATCATAATACCTATACCCTTTGTGTTTTATACCATAACTCAAAAAATAACACAATCTAGCTCTAGGTTCAAGTTTCATCTTTTCATGAGTAGGAAGTAGAACAAAGCAAGCACATCCATAATTTTTGAAAGAATGATAATTAGATACCTTATTGTATAAATACTCATAGAGAGACTGTGCGCCTAATACTGGTATAAAAACACAATTAATAATGTAAATAGTAGTAAGAGTAGTTTTACCATAAAAAGGTTCAAGAAGGGAAGAGAAAATGAAAAGGGCATGAACTATCTCAAGAATATGACGATGTTTTCTTTTTACTCGACCATTTTATTGTGAAGTATATGGACAAGACCTATAAGGAAGAGTTTCATCATCTTTTAACAAGTTATGAAACTTAATTTTTCTATATTTAGTAGCATTATCAAACTTGAAAATTTTTATTTTTCTATAAAATTAAATTTGTATCATGTTGTTGAATTCATGAAAATGGATAAAAGTAAAGTTCTTGGTTTGAATAAATATATCCAAGTATAACGAGATAAATTATCAATAAATATGATAAAGTAACGTGAACCTCCTAAGGTTGGTATAGGAGTTGGACCCCAAATATTATAATGGACTAAATCAAAAGAAGCAGATGAGATAGAATCATTTTTATTAAAAGGTAAAATAATTTACTTTTCAAGTTGACAAGACAAACAATCAAAAATATTATAAGAAACATTATCTAAGACACTAGTGAAAATAAGTGACTTTATTTGAGAAATAGATATATGTCTTAGCCTAGAATGCCATAAATGTAAAAAAACTACAAATTTGGTTGTAGCAGCAATAAGCAAATGTTGTGGAATTTTTAAAGTTTCAACCTCAAATAGTATTTCAACTTTACACCCTGTCTTAACTTTCTGACTTGTTTGAGGATCCTGTACAATACAACTATATCGTTGTGAAAAATACAAATCAAGACCAAAGTCATAAAGTTGGCCAACATAAAGCAAATTTAAGGTAAGATTAAGAACAAGGTATGTGTCAGATATACATAGTTTTAAATTTTCAATATTACTAATATGACTAACTTCTAAGACAGATCAATTTGTTGTTTTAATGATTGGACCATTAAGTATAGGTATCTTACTTTTGAACAAATAAGGGTTAGTAGTCATACGATTTTCACATGTAGTATAAAATAACCAAACATTAACTAATGTGGCAACAAACATCATAAAAACATGAGATCGAAATAACATTTAATTGAACAAAGTTTAAAGATCAATAATGAAGATTGTAATTGCCTTAGAAAAAGACTCAGAAGTGTTTGGTTCAGTTATTGTTACTACAGTAGGCATGTTAGTGTGAGGATCATGAATTAGACTACTATTATAATGATATTTAGCTTTATATTTCTGAATGGGATGATTAGTCCTCCTAAATTGTGAACAAGACTTGTGAAAAGTAAAGCTAGTACTTTTTTGAGAAACAGTACCAACAATAGTATAAACACCATAAGTCTGACTCATACCCAATCGAAGTGAAAACTTGGTATTCTAAAATTAGTCTCGAAGTGTTATTATAAATTAAATAAGACGAATTTGATTTTGATAAATAATAAAATTACCAATATCACTTTCATATTTGAATTTTGGCTTAGAATTTTCAAGCATGTTTCATAAATATTACATTTTAGAATGAAAATCATCAATTGACTAACCTGGTTCTTGACAAAAGCGAGATAAAGTAGTCAAAATATAATATTGATGAGTAAGGGTAGCAGAGCTTTATCGTGTGACAAAAAAATTTTAAGCATCTTTAATAAGTTTAAATCATCTAAAATGTACATTGATAGAAAAAACAGTGGTGTTGGTGAATCATGTCAAAATTCGATAATTCTTACTTTCTCATTCCTTTAGTCAATCTGTAAATTTATCATCAGATTTTTTTTCTTTTCTTTTTGGTGCTTTGTGTTTTCTAATAACAACAAGCCATAATTTCATTCTCTTTAGATAACTACGCATAGCCATAGCCCATCTATTGTAGTTATTTTTATAAAGGATAATGAAAATTGGTTGTATATTTTCTCGTTGAATACCTGTCATTAAGCTCTTGAAAAAAATAAAAATTTTAGAAGTTATGAATATTGATATAAAAGATGAATCTTGAAGATGGGAAGAAAAACTCAAAAAATGAATCACAGATGCAAAAGCTTAAGTTCAGAAAAAAAAAAAAAAACCAAGGATGAGAATATGCAAATATTAATTATTCTAAGATGATTTACTTTCGGAATAAACCATGAAATCGCTTTGATACCATGAAAAAAGAGAAAATGATGAAAACTTAATTGTAATAACTTGTCTTTTATAATGAGACTTAAAGCCTATTTATACAGATATAAAATGTCACAAAATAAAAAAAAATATAATCAATAGAAATAATAACTAAATCAATTATTATAATAAATTAAATTAATATCTAATATTTTGTAAATTAATATCAAATCAATCTAAAATATTAATAAAATATTACTATAATAATATCATTGACATTATTATATACAAATCTATATATATTTATAAATATATTTATATTAAATTAAAAATAAATAATATATCAAAATAACTGATATCAACATTTATCATCTAAAAAAAATAAAAATATTATACGATATGATATTAATAATTTTGCTCTAAATCAATGGTAGCATTTTCTTCTTTGGGTCTTTGTTTAAAGCTAGTAGTCAATTTTATAAGGCCAAAATTGCTGATTTTGAAGGGCCTTTTTTTCTTCTTGTTATCATTTTTCTTAATGTACAAGCTTTGTTGTTTGAGTTTGAGTCCACGACTGCATCTCCTCATGGCACATCTCTTGAAAAATCTATGTAATCCTTCGCTGTATATTAGAAGGCCAGTAAAATAAATACAATTTTATATTCTAGCAATGAATAGCTATTTTTTTTTCCGCATTGAAAAAAGAAAAGAAAGTGTTTTAGTAATTTTATTTTATTCTTTGTTCATTCCCCTTCAAAGTTTCATTTTATCTTATTTTCTACAAACAAGCACAATCTTACCTCCTGGGCAGGCTTTGCTTTATGTCTTAATTGACTACTAAATATATCAACAGTAATTGATTAATGGGGAAAAGATTGAACTCTTACGACTTAAAAAAAAAAAAATCTATAAGACGGTATATGTGATAAAGGCACAAAATATTTGAAACATTTAAAAAAATAAACCTAATAATACGTGTATTTGTATAATGTAAAATATTGATAATTTATATTTTTATATTGTTTTTAACGAAAATTACGTGTCATAATTCATATTAACACGAAAATATGAAATATTTTTTTATTTTATTAAATTTATTTATAATTTTTGTTAAAATTTTAAATTATATTATTTTTATATTTTTTATTTCTATTGTATTATCGTATCGTGTTTAATATTATCATATCTAAAAAAAAGGTAAGATAATGTGTCCCAAAAAGGCGTATAAATGATTAAATTTTGGAAATTTCAACACAAAGATTGAGGAATAGGAGGGAACTAGTAGGAGGCAGTGGGTGCATATTAAGGGCAACATGGTTTTTTGAGTTGAGAAAATGCTTGGCACAGGTAGAAATAAGCAAACCATTTATGTGGGTGAAGCCGTTTGTACTCAACTTGGCTCCTTATGTCTCCCTAAATTTGCAAATAGAGCAACTGTTCAAAATACATTCATTGAAGAAAAAATTTGGGTAAAAAAATTTGTTTTTGCATGTGAACCTAATAAAATTTATGGTTTAATAATGCTGTGGAATAGGTACGGATTTTTTTGGGGTTAAGGTTGTCTATTTCACCTTTTGCGTGTTACCTTTTGCCAATGACAATTGAAGATAGTTAAGAGTTTATAAATGCTCATCACATCAATAGCCTGCAACATGCATGCAGTTCAAAAGTTTGCGACTTATTGGCGCACTAATTTCCCCTTAATGGTTGACACCACTTTTGCAAATATGAAAGCATCTCATCACTTCACCTAAGTGATAACAATGGTGGGCGATTGGGGGATTTTCTTTTTTTTTCTCCTTATCATTTGTGGAAAAAAAGCAACAGTGACCATTCGATCTAGCTGTCCCACCCAATCTATAAATCTTACAATTTTTTTTATATCTTTTTTTCATTATTAATCTTATAAAAACTTTACTACGTAAATCTGTTTATTAATACTCTATTTTTTTTTTAAATTTTCTTCACTTATCTGTTAAGAATCTATTTTCTCTTAATTTTTTTTTTTACAAATTTTTTTATTCATAAAATAATATTTAATTAATCTCCAACAAATTTTTTATAAAATTTCAGTCACTATTACCGACACATATTGAATGGGTGCAGCAGAATACCATGAAAGCAGGTGTGTAGGAGGTTTGTTACCAGAAGTGTCGAATCTTGGAAACCAAAATTGTTGAATTTTTCTGTTTCTTGGAAATTGCCAGATTGATGTTAACTACCTCTTTGTCGATTAACTTCACAATTGAATTTGATTTGATTTGATTTCAATCAATGCCATGAAGCTCATTAGGGGCACTTCAGAGCACCACCCTGACCCTGACTGTCCCGGCCATAATCCATCAAACCGATAACAATAGAACCTCGTGGCTGATCAGTGGATCATGGATGACAAAGAAGAGAAATTAATCTCCATCCCTTAGCCTAGAGTTATTCGAGTACCTCAGGATGGTAATGAACATGATTCTGTATACAAACTGATCTTAAAAAATGATAGTAGTATCATATTTATGGTAAAATACTAAATGAAGATCGCTCCAGTAATTGCAGATTAGACTAGTAACATATAACGACCTTACAAGTCTACCTTTAAACAGATCATTCAAACTCTGGATCACGGACATAAACCAAATATCCACCTACCAAATCTAATGGGAACCATATAACATAATGAAGCATTCAACGTCTACAAACAGAAACCACATGAAAACATTTTCGTTTCGAAAATGATACCCAACAACCACACTAACCATTATATAACACCAACCTGTAAGATCTTTTAATCCTCAATCTTTTAATGTTATCTCCCCCATTTCCTTCACACAATCGATGGAAAATTTTACCTTCTTCAACAAAGCCTTCACTTACATTTCCATTCTTCTCCTTCCATTTCTCATTTCTGTGCTATGCAAGAATGGTTCTGAAAGTCCAGTAGTCCCATCTCCACTGGCAGTCACTGCACAATACTTAATCTTTAAAGACAGGCGGCTAGCTGTTGTGTACCCCATAATCCAAGCATTCAAGAGAACGATCACAGAAGATCCACTTAACCAAACCGGTAACTGGGTTGGTTCTGACATATGCAACTACACAGGCCTTCACTGTGATAATCCACCCGATAACGAATCAGCCCTTGCCCTGGCTAGCGTTGACTTCAATGGGTTTCTCCTAGCAGCCCCGACTCTCGAAGGTTTTATAGATAAGCTGCCTGACCTTGCAATCTTTCACGCGAACTCAAACAAGTTTTCTGGGTCCGTACCAGATGTCTCAAAACTCCCATATTTTTATGAGTTGGACATAAGTAACAATGTCTTCTCTGGCACATTTCCTACGACAGTTATTGGCATAAAAGAGCTCTCGTTTTTAGATCTTCGTTTTAATTTTTTCACAGGATCAGTGCCTCCACAAATTTTCGAGCAACCTCTTGAATTATTCTTCATTAACAACAATGATCTCACGGCAACACTCCCAGAAAACTTTGGTTCCACACCGGTACTTTATCTTACCTTGGCTAACAACAAATTAACTGGTCCAATCCCACGAAGCATTGGCAATCTTAACGCGACATTGATCGAGGTTTTACTGTTGAACAACAAGTTAACAGGTTGTCTTCCCTACGAACTCGGGTTTCTGAAAGAACTCAAGGTTTTCGATGTTGAACACAACCTATTAACGGGTCCATTACCCCGTTCCTTGGCCTGCTTGGAGAAAATCGAGCTGCTCAACTTTGCTGATAACCTACTGTATTGGGAGGTACCAGAGGAGCTGTGCGCACTGGCAAACTTGGTGAACTTATCGTTATCAGGTAACTATTTCACCAAAGTAGGTCCAGCGTGCAGAAAGCTGATCAATAATGGGGTTCTTAACGTGAGACAAAATTGCATCCACGATTTTCCCGATCAAAAATCGTTGCAGGAATGTGCAGAATTCTACTTGAAGTACATTAGGTTTTGCCCGTACCCTGCAACATATGAAATCATCCCTTGCAGGCCTAATGCTCCATGGCACAAACATTGGGCACCGTCCAAGAAAGCTCCAGTTACTTACAAAACTCTTTCCAGAAACAAGTTTTAAGCTCTTTTTTTTTTTTTTTTTGCATCTGTATTATTGCAAAGTTTTAATAAATTGATGCAAGCATCTAGCATATGCATTATATATGTAATCATTGGAAAGCTGAATAAACAGCAGTATGACTGTTATGATTTTGCTATTGGAATTGGCAGCACTCTTGCTGCAGTTGTTTACTTTCTTTTTCCACTTTTTATATGTGTTGGTATATACCATCATCCATTTGAAAAGAAACAATGCAATCTATAGCAGCAAGCAATTATGTCTAATTAAAAAATAGATGAACACGTGCAGATTTATTTACCAATAATTTGGAAGCATTTTTATTCTTCAAAAATATTTGAGGTATCAGATGCACATGTAGCTTCAAATTAATTCAGCATGCATATGAATGGAAATGGCGTGGATAAAATAAAAATGAAATTATCTTGTGCTGTTAAGGTATAAATTTTAACTAAAAGATTGACAACTGACATATCTCAAGGTTCAGAATCAAATAAAAATAAAAAAAGCAGAAGAAAATTATGTGATCAACTTGGATTATATGCTATCAACAAATGTTAGATTCAAGTTCAAATTCTTTAAAAATTTGTAAAAAAATAAGTTTTTATAAATTTATTAAATTAATAATAAATTTTTTATAAATTTATTAAATCAATCTAAAAAAAAATTATTAAGTAAAATTCAAAAATCTCTTTATCCTTTTAAAAAAATTAGGACTATATGCTGTTATCCACTAAAGTGAGGGATGGTGGCTGGTGCTGAGTGCCAATGCCCATTTGCTCCAAGTTGAAGACAATAAAGCGACAAATTTCAGAAAATTATAATTTGCCAAAAAGTGCTGTCGAAGAAATGTTGGCAGGTATGAAAGATGATTGGATCATCACCCATATAAGGCTACGGAGCCATTCGGAGGGGAAAGACCACAAGGAATCGGCAAAGAGCTTTGCTAATGGGCTCGGAATCGAAGCCGTACTCTAGCTTTGAGCAAAAGTCCAAATATGAAGCTAAATCCTAATTTAAATCAATAAATATATTAGTTAATTTAATAAATTAGTTATACCTTATTAATAATTTAATAAAAATTATTAATATTTTACAAATTTTTATATTTAAATAACATTAAAATTATTAAGTTGTATAACTATTATAATAATATACTTAATTTGATACTTTCAAAACAAAATAATATTTAATTTTCAATAATATCAAATATAATAATTTTTAATTTTTAAAAATTAATACTTATTAACAAAATGGTTAAAATAATTACTTTATCAATTAAATTATCATGATTTTTTAAAAATAATAGTAAATGTTACCTAAAATATCATCTCCCTAAAAAAGAAGTGGATGATTCATCGGAGAGAAGATATTCACCATCACTAAAAAATAAGTAAGATGTTCACTATTTCATCTTAGGGTGATTAATGAAAATCGAAATTAATTTATAGTTAAAATTTTAATTATTTTAAATTAATGAAAATAAATAAAATTAGTTAAGAAATACAAAATAATTAATATGAATAAATTCTTATTTAAGATTTGTTTGGAAGTATTTGTCTCAATCTATGATGAACTCCATAAATCCAAATCCACCCAACTCCAAGGCCCCATTTGGATAGAGGATATCAGTTCGCTGATTCACACTGCTCTGATAATTTTCCAGCAAACTTGTTTCGTAACCGGGCCCTTCAATTAAAATCACATCCTGACAAGTACCAGAATGACATAGTAACCCTGTCAATAATTCTCAGTAAATTTATCTATTTATGTTTTTTTTTATATATAAAATATTAATATTTATATATTTATATTATTTTTTATATAAAAATTTTATATCGATGTAAAAATATAAAATATATATTTTTTATTTTATTAAATTTAAACATAATAATTATTAAAATTTTAAATCGTATTACATTTATATTTTATATTTATATCATATTCGTATTATATTATTATATTATATTTTAAAATATCATGTTTAATTTTCAAAAATTAAAGCAAACCCCACCAAAAATAATATATTTACTCTGCTAAATTTTGTGATATAAATTAAGTATTTTTTATGCTTGGTATGAATTTCATCACATTTTTTCATGTAACGTAATCGAACTCACTATATTATCAATTGAATGTAAATGTTAAATTCAATAAAATTTATTTTGTATTAATTTTTTTTTCATTCATAACTACAACAACTTATATCACTATCTATTCAAATAAAATCTTAATTTGAATAATAATTTATTTCAAAATTAAAAATAATTTGAATGCAACTGTAACTTAAAAAAAATATATATATATATGTAGATGCCTTGAAGAGTCAATTAGGTGTTGTTCTACTATTGATCTTAATTAATTCATCATTTTCACTTATTAAAGTAATAACTTATTTTCATGAAAACAACATAATTAAACTTTAAATTAATTCACAATATTTTAATGTATAAAATAATAGTAATGTTTATTGATTAAGTTGTTATGGATTCCAATTATTCCTAAAGTTTTGTCAAGTTCCAAGTTAATTGTATTATAATTATATCATCCTTGGTTGTTAAATAAACAATTTCAATTGGACCCCAATTGGATAAATTTTCAAATTCAATTGAATTTTTGTCACATTCATTTTACAATCAATCAAAAGGGATTAGATCAAACTTATCATCAATGTATTATGATTTAATGTTGAATTTTGTCATAATATTTAAATTTTATTGAATTTTTTCATTACACTTTCCAATTTCAATGATTTTTTTTATAAAAATAACACAATTGGAAAATTTTACAAAATATTTCACAATGTGAGTAGAAAATTTTTGTCAATTTTGTTTTTTTTTTTATAAAAAAATCAATAAAATAAAAAATATTGCAAAATTTTTTAATAAACTTGAAATACAGTGAAAAATTTTAATATTAATCCACAATATAATGCAAAATTTGACCTTAATCCTCTATTAAGAACCCTTTAAGTTCAATCCAAATAATAATAATAAAAAAAGTTAATAACTAATATCATTTTAGGCTTCCAAGTGATAAAGTTGGATGCACTTATAACTTGTAAACTTAGATAATAAGAGTCAAATTTGTTTAAATTATGTGTTTTATTTTATATAAAAAAAATAAAATAATAAATAATAAGAGTGAAATAAAATTTGTATAAGTATCTTATATTTAAAATTTAATATTTTTATAACATAAATTTTGAGATAAAATTTATATTTTAAAGAAAACAAGAATTTTCATTTTACACGTGTGAGTGAACAGTGAAACAAGTGCCATATCCACGTTTTATTGCCACACCGACACCTCACCTTCACTCTCCTGCAATAACGTACGCTTTTACTCACGTGAACCACGTGATCTGTATATTGTATTTATTCAATCACAATCCCGACCACGCAGCTTCTTATCTGCACGCTCCCCCAAGCCAATTATATTAAGAGTTAATAATCATAGAGCTTCGGAGCGCGTATCTCCTGGGCCCCACCGTTCCGAGGATTCGAATCTTTATTAGTAACATGGGTTTTGCTAACCGAGCATTCTGTCTCTCACCTCGCTCCAACGTTGGACATTCCTTCACTCAATCGGCCACCGACGCCTGCTGATACTGCCATCACTTTCCTTTTGAACTTTTTCTTTTTTTCTCTTTTCTCGTTTGGTTGCCGAGAAAATCTCAGGGAAACTAATCGAATTTTCGTTTTGCTTGGGATTTCTAATTTTTAATACTAATATATTGAGTTTTGGGTTTTCGTCTAGGTTATTGGTCAGAAGCACATCAGCCAAGCATAGTTAGGAGGTTTTAAAAAAAATATATTCCAATTTCAATTTCTTCACTTTCCCACCAGTTTTCTCAGCAATCAAATAGAACAAGTATTTCAAAGGCAAAAATTCCAGATTTAAATCCTGTTTTTTTTCTTTCCCCCCCTTTTCTCGGCAACCAAACAGATTTAATTGGCCACAAAAAAGTTAAAAGCATTCAAATCTCGTAAAACTTGATTATATTTTTTTCCGGATACATTTCCAATGGTTTAAACTTTTAAACCTATATATAAATACACTTTTGTACTGATAAAAAAAAAGTTGTAAATGATACAATTTGCAAAGAGAGACAAACCCATCTAAATCTCTCAATCATCATCTTCTCCTGATGATAAAGAAACAGACAAAGGCGACGATGATGTCAAATTCTTACAAAACCCAGACTTCTTACCATCATCACTCACTTCTTCTTTTTCCACTACAAAATGTCCCAAAGAATTCACTGTTTCCACCAAGTTTTCTTCACACAAAAACTCGTCGCTAAAAATACTTTCAACGTCCCTCTCAAAATCATGCACAAAAACATGCGTTTTTCTACCTCTCTTCTTGCTCCTTGCCAACACTCCCGCCGTAAATATCGGAGCCATCCTCCCTGGAGCATCTGCGAAGTAGCCACGTGGCCCGTCGATTAAGATTACATCCCAACTTAAATCGTAAATATGGTTTGGCATGTCGTTGATTGCGAGTTTACAATCAGAAAAGAGTAGGTTTTGGACTGGTTTGCAATCGTTTTCGATGTGGGATTTGGCTAGGGATAATAAATCTGACATTTGGTTTACTTTGGTGGTGTATTGGATGTCGTATGCTTCGATCTCCGGGTGGTTGCGGTCGAATGAGGAGACTAAGTACTCGCTTTCGTCGAGGAAAATGGTGTGGCCGTGGATGTTGAGGGAGTGCCATAGGAGGGATTCGTGGGTTAGACCAAAGACAAGGAAACGGCAAGGCGAGGAGGGGCAGTTGTGGAGAGTGGAAGCAATCAGGGAGAGTTCGGAAGATGACATGTGGTGAGTGGTGGTATTGATAGTGGCAGTCGAAGCATAGTGGAGGAGCGCGATGGTGACGGAGGAAGGTAGGGAGGCCGTAGAGGTTGATAGGGAAGGGATGGTAGAGTTGGAAATGGAAGTGGTGGTGAAGAGAGTTAGAGTGAAAGCTAAAGCGAAGATAGAAATGAAGAAGAACAGGAAGAAGCGGTGAGAGTAAGAGGAGTATTTGTGGATCGAAGGGTGGAGGAGAATTAGCTTTGTATTAGGATTGCTCTTCATTTCTCTTTCTGAGAAAGCTGAAGGAGAGAGTCTGGAGTTCTTTTCTATTTTCCTCTGTTTCTTTAGCTTTTTGAAAACTAAGAGAGAGGGAGGGAAGAAAACCAAGAAAGGTGAAGGAGGAGGAGGAGGAATCACGGAGGAAATTGAGAGGACCAAGCACAAATTCCAAGGGATGGACTGTAGGAGAAGGAAATAGTAGCGGAAAATGGGATCGATCTTCTTATCGGGGGAGACGTGGATGGGGAAGAAAGGGATGGGTTAAACGGCTATCGTTGTTCTTGTTGTTGGCTTTCCCTTGGATTAAGTATTAATTAAAAATGGAAGCGAGACTGAAGGATGACAAATGGACAAGGTAATTGAGGGAGGATGTTGGAACCGCGAAGTATGGCTAAGTCAGCATTTATTACACAGCTTATTCTTTGTTTTACTTTTGAAATTGATGAACTCCCTCTTTTCGAAGTGAATTTTTCTTTCTTCAATCATTATTCCTGCATTATCATCAAATAATGAGATTGGAGATTTGGGTTTAGCCAAATTCCAGCATATAATAATAGTCTAATAGACGATAAGAGGTAATATTAAACCTTAACGATCCGTATACTCTTCTACTTTTCCTTTTCTGATGATTCCCCTCTTTTTGAAGTATGATTGCAAATTTGGGTCCTACAATAAATGGGTCTTTCCCTAATTACTTTGTAACCTACATGTTTGAATTTCGTAAGGACTTAATCTTTATAAAGAAAAAAGAGAAGGAAATTTTAACTCAAAATTAAAAATTTTATATTTTCATAAAAAAATTTTAATCATTAAACCAAGAGGTGAAGGATGATTTTATAAGTTTTAAATCTTAACAATAAATGCTTTTTTTAAATGATTGTTGATAAAGTTTTTAAATTTAAGAGGGCAATAATATGATACATATTTCATAAAATATATTAAGAATAAAAAATTGAAACATAAGTTTTTTTTTACTTCTTTTGTAAAATTAAAATATTATATAAATTGTGTATCAATACGAATACTTGATACTATCAATTTTACTACTATCTGTTTAATTGATTATTTATCCTTTATTTTTAAGCATTTTTATTCTTTATAAAAAAATAAAAACAAAAATAATAACTAAATGGAATCTAAATTTTTCATTAAATTTCTTGGATTTAAAAGATAAAAAACATCAATCCTGACAGAAGTGCGCTTCTGCCTTAACTAGAAACACTTGATAAGCAGTTGCGCATCATTTTCCTGTCTTAATAAGAAGTTAGAATTTCTGGTACAAGAAAATTCAAAGGTTTCAATTTCAAATTTTAAATGGAGGAGGAGGTCGTTAAAGGAATTTACTCCGCATTTCGCGGGATTTTCAGTTATTCATGGTTGTTACTGTCATGGTCAACAATGGAAACTGTATTTGACCCCAAATTGAAGAATTTTTTAGGTAAAGGGGATCACTCAAAAAAATTTGGGTTAAATTTTGAAATTTAGATTTATTAATTTTTGTTAAATAACTATATGAATTAATTAGATTAAATTTTAAATTTTAAATTAAAAATTTCTTAAATATTTTATCAATAAACGTGATAAATTTTTTTTTTTTTTATCTTAGTTTCCAACATTAACTTAGAAAACTATATAATAAGTTAAGAAAGGCCGATTTATTTGAACAAATTTGGACGTCAACTTATTTATAACACGTGAAGGAAACTCTATGTTTGATGTAATTTTTTTTTTGAAGAAAACCGACAGCAAGAAAAAATAAATTAAAACTTAAATTTAAATAAAGTTTTAGTTTAGTAACAAGAATGAACTTTTAAACTTATGAGATTTTAGATTCATATTTTATTGTATGAGTTTGATTGTTTAATTATATTATAATTTATTAATTGATTATTCAATGATTGTAATTTAATTATATATAATAATTTATTATTAATTGATTATATGATGTAATATTTTATTATGATTGTAACTTAAAAAAATAACTAATTTTTTTTAAAACTTTATGTAACAAAAATTAAATAAAAATATATGTGAAATATAATTATTTCTAAATTATATAATTTTATAATTTTTAATACAATTAGTGTCAAAAATAATTTTTTGATTTTATTTATGTTTAATATTATCTTATTCGAACAATCTTGGGATTATACGTCACACATTGTCCTAATACATTTAAAATTTTATTTTAAAAATATTTTAATAATCAATTAAGCATTAGCAAACCAGGCATCAATGATAACAAGACATAGTGTTGGACAAAAGTTGTCATTGATTAAGGAAAAGTTGGATTTAATGGTTGGAAATGCCAACTTTTGTATAAAGTTGTAGGTATCAGACCCTACACCATTCCAAAATTTCAGTTCAACTTTGTCATTTGTTTTTGTTGCCCCATGCATAAAGCAGCCATCTTTAGTTGTGAAAGAGGAATTTGGGCACGTGAGAGGCTGGAAAAACTCACCCTTCCTATAGCCATTCCCTTTTCTAGGTCATGTTCTCAAAAGGTTTAGGAACATTGGTTGGCTTTTACATAAATAGCTTGTTAGTGAAAATATCATAAACGAAAATTAATGACAATTTAAATTAGTATTACGTAAGAAAAAAGATTTTCTCTGATAGAGAAGATAAAACATTGCAATTGAATATAAAAAATGATGCTACAAATATCGAGATTTAAATCATAAAAATATTAAATGTTATTTTTTAAAAATGATTCTTGAGCTTCAATTACTATTAAATTGAATCAACAATGTAATTCTTTTTTTTTCTTAATATTATTCGTTTTATAATTTGGAAAAGAAGGAATGGGAATGGAAGAGAAAACTTGCAAAATCAGAATATGATTCAAGAGGCAGTAACTTAGTTGGGCCAATGGATCTTTGCCGGGCTCAATGCTTTTTATACGGGGAGCTAGAAATCATGTGAATCGACTAAAAAATTGACCAACACGGTTATAATACGAATATGATATGAAAATAATATAATTTAAAAATTTAATAATAATTATATTTAAATTTAATAAAATAAAAAATATATTATATATTTTTATGTTGATACGAATTATAATATATAATTTTTATATAAAATTTAATATTTATATATAAATTTTAATATTTTATATTATACGAATATACAATCATCAAGTTTAATTAATGATAGGCACTCCAATCAAAAGAGCCCACTTGTGATCAATGAAATTCTGAAGATTCTAAACCGAATAAGAGGCTGGATAAAGCCTTCTCTTCCTACTTCTTAGCTTCTTGTTTGAATCTGGTCTCAAACGACAATACTGTCGAAAGTTTTATTATTATGTCACTAGTATTATATGTATTATATTCAATTATATTAATTTTATCCATGTCGGCAAAAACTCAGCAGCATTATGCATTATAAAATAGTCATGGGTTTGTAGATATGAGAACCAGGAAGGTGGGTGGGATATAACATTTAATCTGAGTTTTTCCTAGAGGATAAATAGAGGTGAGTGGTTAAAATATTGATGGAGCACTTATCTTTCTTCTCAAGAATTATATTACAGTATATGATTTAAAAATGGATGAATTTGACAATTAATGTTCTTGTTGAAGGATGATTCTCTAGGCAACAAGTCAGTTTCACCTTTTTTTGTCTTTCAAAACATTTCAGGGTTCAAAGCATTAATCCTGATTTTATTTTTAGAAATTATTAAAATTTAAACCCTAATTACTGAAATTAAGAGTAATTGTTCTTACAATAATAGATTTTCTTGACCTTTATAAATTAAGTTGATTCAAAGGTTATGGTCAGGTTAGTGGTGTAAGGTACTGCGCAATACCATTTCTATTAGTCCATTGTAAACGCCTGGTCTACTTATTTATAAATGACGTCTGAAAAGAGGACGTACCTACAAAAGATAGCCATTACTGTAGCTTCATGCAAAACTTGCAGTCACCAACACGCTCAAATGGCACCAGAAATATGCGATATGATTTTCATTTTTCCCATTGGTTCAATGGCGACGCAAATTCAGTTCTTCGATGAGAGAATTCAAGTCAGAGTAAGATGAACCTCCTTTGCAACAGCCCCTTTTGCCATTGCTGCCAGGGCCTTGGCTCTGTTTCTTAGTTCCTCTGCTGTTTCACACTTCATTATCTTCTTGATTGCCTTCTCTATTGCTTCTATCTTCACAAAATCGCCCATTGTTTTCAACCATCGCTGAACACCGACAGCGACTCCAATTTTCAGGATTTGAGCATCAGCTCTTCATTGTAAAACTGCTCTGCGGAAACTGGCCACGTGACCATCGGTACACCAGCGGAAACACTTTCCAAGGATGAATTCCATCCGCAATGAGTCATAAATCCTCCGATTGCTGCATGATCAAGAATCAAATTTTGTGGTGCCCATCCTCATATTATTAGTCCCTTGCTTTCCACTCTCTTCTCAAATCCTTCAGGCAGCCAATCCTCCTCTTCTTCATTGTTTTTTTCTTTTGTCACAACCCAAATGAATTGCTGCCTTGAGGCTTCAAGCGCCATTGCAATCTCCTTTAACTAATCAGAGCTGAAGTTGGTCATACTTCCAAAACATATGTAAACAACTGAATTGGGTTTTTTGAGCCAAGCCAGTACTTCAAACACTCGTGTTCATCAACTGTAGATTTCTTTCCTCTTTCCGCCTTATCCTCAGTAGCCCTAATACACAGAAACCGGTCCAATGTGCCATGCCTTTCTTCCCCAAACATTCCTGTAGTAATCAGCATACGTGTCCTCAAGCTCGTAAAAACTATTGAAAATTACGCCATAGCTTTTTAGCTCTGATTCCCTGGCTTTTGCTGCTCTCAGCATCTTATTGAAGTCTGTTTCAACATTTTCTTTCCCATGATCTGGCAGCAGCTTTTTCGTTAACTTGATATCGCCCGGAAGGTTAGACACCGGAAATTCTTCATATTCAGACTCAAGTTTCTTGTGCGGCTCGTAGAGTATCATGCACTCCTTTCACATGATCTGATAGCAGCTTTTTCGTTAACTTGATTTCGCCTGGAAGGTTAGGCAATGGGCACCACAAATTCTTCAGATTCAGACTCAAGTTTCTTGTGTGGCTCGTACAGTGTCATGCACTCCATTGTGCAGGATGAGAAGAAACTAATTCCATAAAACACCAACCTAGGGATCCCAAATTTATCCGCTGCATCAGTAGCCCAAGGAAAGAACATATCAGCAACCAAGCAATGTGGTTTACATTCTTGTAGCAGCTGCTCCAGGGGTTCCTGAAGCATGATTTTGGCCTTGAAAAAATTTGTGACAATGTCCTTGTTTTCATCATGTGAAGTAGGGAGCAAGTCTGCGTCTTCGGTCCCTTCAGGCAAGCCAGCCTCGTTATAAAACTTTAGGATCTTCATATCGATATCAAGACCTGATTCCTAGCTTCTTTGGATTGTCTTAGAGAAGAAAGAAGCATCGACTGGAGTGGTGATTGTAGTTGTCTTCACTCCTCATGTCGCAAACAGCTTGGCCACGTCTACTGTTGGTATCATGTGGCCTTGAGTCATGATTAGAAAGAAAAATATATGAATTGCACCCCCCATAATCCTTGGAAGGATGCTTAGGTAAACTCTTTCTTGAATCTTAACCCTCAATTGTATTACTGATGTTACTAATTTGATTTGAAAAAAGGTTGAAGCCATATCTAGGGCAATAATAAAATTCATAGCAGTACTAAAATATTTTCCAAATCCTTGAGGCAATCAATCCTCCTTTTCTTCGTTGTTTGCATCATAAGGAAATTTTAACCACTAAAGTTGGTAAATGAGATACTTCAATATATATAATTAATGAAATTCATATTGATGCAAACTTACATAAATACCTTTTATCAGTTATGAATAAAATTGACATTTAGATACAAAACTTTTGGTAGACATTTATTACAAAGGCATTTCTGATTCTAGCTGATGTTGAGCTATTTCGACAGGCCTATGTATAAAATTTAAACTAAAAATTAGAGGTTGAACCTTATCATCTGTAAGGCTCACTAGACAGGATTAAATTTCTCACTTTGCCGTGGAAGAATACTTGTATGATCTGCATAGTGGAAAAAGAATCGTGCCATCAATTTGACACCGAGATTATGATCTTCTGCAGATGTAGGCATCATGTCAACCTTTCATTAGCACGTTTTATCTGCAGGGCAGCTCTAACAACATTTCCCCTTGTAATGATTCCATCCTTTGAGATTTAAATACGAATCAATCAGAAATAATCCATAGCAAATTGTAATAGAGAACATATATTTAGGAAAAAATCGAAAGAACATGATATAAAAATTCTTACCAGCTTGCCATCACCATCTACCACTGTTAGTCAACGATACTTAGTTTCAAGCAACAACCTGATAAAAAACATCAGAATAAGAACATTCAGATAATAAAGAAATGCATTCAAAAGGCTGACAAAACGATACCTAGCTGCACCTTCCAGGTTTGTTGTTTCACAAATAACAAGTGGTGAAGGTGTCATCAAGTCCCCAACAGCCTTTCCATTATTTTTGCTCATCAATTTCTGTATTTTGTTGAATGTTTGACATGATTACCCAGAATCAGAAAAAGCAAAAGTTGTGCACACAATTCATAATTACAGAGCTCTTTTGCCTGAAATCAGGAATTAGATATATAAAAAGAGAGAGGAAAAAAAAAGGCAGGGCAATGGATTATGTGAACATGCCCAGGGGCAGGCAACATTTGCTGTTAAGTAAATAAAATATTATCGGGGTCACAGCAGCAACACTAGAATTTCTAAAATGTTAAAGAATTTCACAGTCAGTATATATTAGCACTCAAATAGTTCTCCTAGCTAGAGATTACAACAAATTTCAACCAAAACCCAAGAACCAAAGAATCAGAAAGCAGAATGCTTCCGTACTTTCCAATAACTATCAACATTAGGAAACATGGTCGTGTCATTCTGACTGCTACCTGATAGTTGTTGGGATCAGGTTCACATGTGAGTAAAGAATCACACATCACTAAGAAATCTGAATGAGATATCTTATATATATATATGGATGACCTAAGAACCTAATAACTTAAGCTTTGAGGCTCAAGTGGTGTCCAATACGTATGTATGAGCTCTCTGCTCCCATGCGCTCCAAGTGTGGCAAATCTCCTGACAATAGTCATAAAAGGAACAAATCAGTAGCCATTTCAGAAAAATAACAAGAGAAACCAAAGTTAAAACCAAGGTGGCAAATGCCATTGAGAGTTAATCAGTAATGAGGAACAAAAGGAAGCAAGTAACACAAAAGGCAATATCTAACAAAAAATTGAAATAAAAAGTCCTTGATATATCATCCAGCTTGAATGTGGATAATAGATAATATGAACTAAGAGAGGGAAACTAATAGACAGAAACAAAAATTCCATCTGCCACTCTGAAGTAGGTGTAGCATTCACCTCTCACTCCATTTCTAAGGTGCTCAGATTTCTCAACACTTTATAAACATTCAGGATAGAAACACTACTACAACTGAGCCGTGTACATAACTTTAACTTGTTTCTAAGTATCTAATATAATTTACCTAGTCAAGCAAGCGAAGTTTATAGATAAAATGGAGTTTGTGAATAATAGTGACTTTACACTCTTTGTGTATAAATATCAGAATAGCAATCACTTACTTTTCAACATAATTTTAATCACAATCTTTTATAACAGCAAGAGTAAGTTTTTTAAAAAAAGATGTTAAAAATTGATATCAGTAAATTTCTTTCCCAACTATTTATGATAAATTTAATAATCCACTAGCAACCGGGAAGGAGAAAAGGCCAATTCAGGAATGAATTACCTCTTCTGTCACTAAGGAACTTTTAGGATGAAAAAAATTGTCTTCTTCAATATTTCTAATCGATCCCTTTTCGTCCTTAAATAAACTCAAACAAATAGTAAGGAGAAACACCAAATCAACCCAAGAAGTTCATATTCAGTTTCATAATCATCGTATAAACTACCTGAAATAGAGTCAAGTGCCAACAAATCATAATCAGATACAACGCCAACCTGCAAAACAAAAACAAGTCAGTATTAATTCGAGGAAGAAGGTGATAGCTTAAAATTGCCATTCACACACCATTTTTGGACGGGAAAATTACCTTTTTCTCTAAGAAACAAATACATAGCCATCCGAAGAAACCATGATCATTAACAACAGAGCATTTTCCAACTCCAGTCAAAAATAGTGATTTTGTGCATCCATATATCAATAAGAAACCATATGTCCGAATGTCATAAGTTCCTCTCAGTCAAACCAATCTCTCCAAGAAACCATAAATGCCCCTCAGACGAAGTAAACAAACAAGATCATAGTCCATATGTGAGGTATCAAACATAGGATCAGACAACATTTTGTAAACGATTTTAAAAAGAACACGAAAACTTATGTTATAAATGAAGAAAAAAATGTAAAACTACTTAAAAAGTTACCAATTTCCATTCATCATCAGTCACGGGGAAACCATTAACTCTTTCTCCACAAGTGCCTCCAATGCTGCAATTGCAGAATTCAATACAAAATTAAACAAGAAAAAAAAAAAACATAACATGGTGAATAAGTAGGGTTCTCAAGTATCAGTAATGCCTTCATCCACACTTGTTGTAGTTTTGACAACATGTAGATCCTCCTTTCTGGTCATAAAATCAGCCACAGTATAATTTCCGTTTCTTGACCACAAAAAACAATCCAAAATCGTTCCATGTAAAAAACAATCCTTTTTAACAAAAAAAAAAAAAAGCCCAAAAAGAACAAGAAAAGAAAAAGGAGGGTTACGGGAACAGAGTTGGCGATGAGTCCAGCAGCACGGGGAAAAGAGCTCCTCTTGGGGGAAGGGACAACGGAAGTACTACTTTATGGGAATGATGGTACAAGGAGACAATGCCGGGTGGCTTGGGATGAAGAAAAGAGTTGAATGAAGGGAATAGCTTCAGGGTTTGATAATTAGCGAAAGAAATAGAACCCATGCTTGTAAAAGCAAATTGACAAAAAAAAAAAGAAAAGATGGTATTATTATGTTTATGTTATTAAAAGGTTATTGATTTTAGAAGAAGAAAAAGCAAAAGCGAATCTTGAACAAATATGGAAAAACCAAGAAGTTGGAGATAGAAAGAAGAAGAACCAGCGGAAAGGGTGATCAGTGGTTAATTGTTCCTCAGGAAAGACAAGTATGCTTTTTTAGGAGAGAGAAAGTAAATGGTCGGTACATTTAACGCCAATTATGTTTTTCTCTGGACTCCTCCGCATCTGAGTTACAACAAGATTGTGAAACATCTTTAATTCAGCAGGTTTGTTAACTTTCTTTTTCTCAATTAATAAAAAGAGAAAAAAAAACATATATGTTTGTGGACTTTTATGAGTAATTTGATAACATTTTTAAACTAACTGTAAAATGTACTCCCTATTACTAAAAATTTTGTATGAAAAAAAAATGACATTAACACTTAAGACGTACCCACAAAATTTGATGTTAAAATTCTTTTTATATTTAAAATTATCAAAAATTAATTGATGTTAGAAATTCAATTCCTACCAAAACATTATGAGTTCTTTTTTCTCTATTCACAGTTATATATATATATATATATATATTTATTTATAAGTGAAAGAAAAGTAAAGTAAACATTTCAAAAAGAAGAAAGTGAAACAAATTTTGCTTTTATGATGGGTTTTGAGTTTGGACATTGGACTTTGACGTCTAAACTAGCATTATGCTAACTAACCCCAACAAATGCCAAATGCCAATGTCCATTCAAGGAAGTCAGAGGATGATTAAATGTGTAAATATTACAATTCAAATGTTCTAGCAGTTCATATAATTTAATTTTAATGATTATAATTTAAATTTTGATAATTTTAAATACAAAAAACTGACATTAACCATTTTGTAACAACATCGCTTTATGTTGGGGATTTGGATTTGAGTGCGACGGGTACTCAGCTTTATGACAACTTTAACCAGGTGGGTCAAGTGGTTACGGTTCGGTTTTGCAAGGATTTGTCGACCCGGGGGTCTCTTGGTTATGGTTATGTCAACTATAGCAATCCCCAAGATGGTGAGTTTTCAGTTTTCACAGTTTTAGTTAGTTTGTTTATTTTGCTAATGATTTTGTTTAGTGTAGATTTGATGATTCTCACTTCCCTTTACTTGCCTTGTTTAATAATGGATAGTTGCTTTGATTAGTGTTTGCATGATTAAGGTTTTAGCCCTACTTTTTCATTTAGTTCAGATGAATTATAAAAGGAAAGAAAAGGTGATTAATTTTGGTTCAATTTGCAATGGATGATATTGATACAAGAGTAGAATATTTATGGTGTTAAGGTGCCATTCACCTATATAGATTTTTATACCTATTTTGATATCTATTTTCCAGTAAATTTTTTCTATTGTATTGTCAAGCTGATCTAAGCAGGTAATGAAGATGTAAGTTTTGACTGTGTTCTCTTACAGTTGTTCTTCACATGCACATTTTCACTGATGATTTTCTTCTTTAGATGAAACTCTCGACTTCTTATTAAAAATTATAGCAAACAACGTGTTGTCTCAGTTTGGCTTGAATTTCTGTGTATCAAGTAGCCTGGAACTTTGCGTGATGGAGCCTTGTTTGATACCAAAGTGAGCCATATTCATCAGCCAAGTGAACTCTATTCTTTATGTTGAGGGTATGATATTGCGTATTTAATTGGATTTGTCATTCCTGTTTATTTCCATATCTGCCCATGACAATCCATAGAAATCATACAGTAATATATACTTGGCCTTTTTTGGTTTCCTGTAATGGGTGAGGAGAACGACAAGCAAGATAGAAAGTGGGAAGTTTTTAAAGGTACTTGGGATTCTAGCCTAATGGAAAGAGAGTAATGCATAATATATCCTTATTTCCAAATGCTTCTTTGTTATCTTCTCAGGCTTCCATGTGAATTATCAACCGTTGGTCTCTATCAGTAAGGTGGAAACCAACTCAAGTAGCGGCTTTCCATATTAGTACATATTATTGAAAAGAACTTTACTAATATTTTTCCTCCACCATTGTTCCCTAGGAAAAAAAATGTTTGCTCTTTATTCTGCATGACATCTAATGCTGTTTATTTACAGCTGCAGGGGCATTGGACCTTCTGAATTTCACTCTTCTGAATGGAAAGCCTATCCGGATTATGTATTCCAACCGTGACCCTAGTCTTCGTAAAAAGTGGTGCCAGGAATATATTTATCAAGGTAATAAAATTTTGACAATCATGCGGTTTCATATGCAGCTTTGTTTTATAAATCTGTGCTTCTGAAATCTCATATGGTTTATTTTATGTTTGTTTGCCGTGCTTGTTGAATCTGGTAGAATTTAGATAAGGGCATTGACCACAAAGCTTTGCATGATACATTTTCTGCATTCGGGAACATTCTCTCTTGCAAGGTAGCCACAGATCCTCCGCCACTCAAAAGTTTATGGCTTTCTACAATTTGATAATGAGGAATCTGCCCAGAAAGCAATGGAGAAATTGAATGGTATGCTGTTGAGTGATAAGAAGTCTATGTGGGCCACTTTCTTTGCAAACAGGTAAGGGACACTTCTGTGAGCAAGGCAAAATTTAACAATGTCTATGTGAAGAATCTCTCAGAATCAACAAGTGACGAAGATTTGAAGAACATTTCGGCAAATTTGGTCCTATCACAAGTGCTGTGGTGATGAGGGAACCGGATGGGAAATCAAAGGGCTTAGGATTTATCAACTTTGAGAATGCAGATGATGCTGCTAGAGCTGTTGAGTCCCTCAATTTGAAAGAAATTTGATGATAAGGAGTGATATGTTGGAAAAGCTCAAAAAAAATCTGAAAGGGAGGTTGAACTGAAACTTCGATTTGAGCAGACAATGAAAGAGGCAGCGGATAAATTTCAAGAAGCAAACTTGTATGTTAAGAATTTGGATGACAGCATAGGCGATGGAAAGCTTAAAGAACTATTTTCTCAATATGGTACCATAACATCATGCAAGGTTTGTTAGTTTGTTTTATGGAATAGTTAAGTTAGATCAATTCTGGTAATCAGTTGGCTGAAGCCTATTATTAAATGTAACAAGTTATGCGAGACCTTAATGGGATATGTAAAGGATCAGGGTTTGTCGCATTTTCAAATCCAGAATAAGCATCTAAAGCTGTAAGTTGATAATGCTATCCCTACTCTCATGATCTTATAATAAGCTAATAATTATTTTTTGTTATGACAGCTAGCCGGGATGAATGGCAAAATGGTTGTCAGCAAACCTCTTATGTTGCACTAGCTCAAAGGAAGGCAGATAGGAAAGCCAGGTTGCGGTTATGTTCTCTTGATATTTGCTTTGAGCCTTGACCAAACAGTAAAGGGGCAAAAGGATGGTTTTGATTCTCTATTATGCTAAAGCATGTGCTGCTCCTTCTGCAGGCTCAGTTTTCTCAAATGCGACCGGTTGCAATTGGCAACTTCAGTTGCTCCCCTTATGCCAATGTACCCACCTGATGGTCCAGGTCTTGGACAGAAAATATTCTATGGTCAAGCACCTCCAGCTATTTTTCATCCTCAGGTAACTATTTATTTTGCATTTTATTGCTTGGCATTGTTAGTCATTGGAGGTCTATTTTAACCTCCCGAATTAATCAATGTATTGTTATTTGTAAATTGCTTTAGAAATTTATGGTCTTGTTTATGAAATTTTCTTCCGTCAGCCTGGATTTGGATATCAACAGCATCTTGTCCCTGGTATAAGGCCTGATGGGGCTATCATGCCGAATTTCTTTGTACCAATGGTTCAGCAAGGCCAGCAGGGTCAGCATCCTGATGGCAGAAGGGCTGGGGCTGTTGAGCAAGGTCAGCAACCAGTTCCATTAATGCAGCAGCAGGTTTGTTTCATCACTTCTTCGATTTTTGTAATATCTTCTATGCATATGTTCTGTAAATACTTCATCTGATGGTTCATTTAAATGTCAGACGCTACCCCGAGGGCGGGTCTATCGCAATCCACCAGGGCCTGGTCTACCTGATGCTTCAATGCCTAATGTTGCTGAAGGCATGCTTTCTGCTCCATATAATGTGGGTGGCATGCCAATGCATGATGCATCACTTTCTCTGCCAATTCCAATAGCAGCCCTGGCGTCAGCACTTGCAAATGCTACTCCTGATCAGCAGAGAACTGTATGTACTACTTTGCTTTATTTATTTGTTACTTCTATGTTTTATATACTGTGCTGTCCAACTTTAGATTATATTTGTAGCATAATACGAGGCCTTTTAGTCAATTTTAAAAGGATTAATTACAAAAATTAAGTTGAAGAGTATCCCCTAATAAATTTCCCCATATTTAGAACATATATAGAGTTCCCCTCTTGAGATGTGAACTTTTATTAGTGACATTTAATTTTTCTTCTTATACACGTCCCATAGGATCGGTTCAATGTTTGGATGATACAAAAAATTTGCTATGGTGTTTTTGTAATTAATCTTTTTAAAAAGATTCATTGCAAGTTTCCGAAAATGCATAACTTAGCACTGTTCTGGTTAACTGAAATTTTTACAATGGGTTAATATGTGTAGATGCTGGGGCAGATTCTGTATCCACTTGTTGACCAGCTGGAGCCTGATGCAGCAGCTAAAGTAACAGGGATGCTTCTGGAGATGGATGAGACTGAGGTTTTGCACTTGCTTGAGTCACCAGAAGCTCTAAAAGCAAAGGTTGCAGAAGCAATGGAGGTTCTAAGGACTGTTGCTCAGCGGTAGACTGGTGGTGTTGCTGATCTGTTGGCTTCATTGTCATTAAATGACAACCTTGTCTCCTGAGCTTAATGCTTGCTAGAGCTGTCTCCTTAAACACCGTGGTAGTGTGGCCTTTTTGGAGTTCAAATGAGTTACTTAGTTAGGAGGATAGGAGCTGGTTTTGATTCTGTACTTTATCCCGAGAGTTTTAGAACTTCAAAACTGTCACTTTCATGCTTCATAATTTATTGCTATGTAAGTATGCACTTCCACTAACTTCAGTTCTATCTGTTGGATTGAATTGATTTTGTGCCTTTTGGGTGAAAAATTCTGCTGATTCATTAGCTGATTGAAATTGAGATTACTTTGGTGTTTATTGCTTTTAGAAAGCAGATACATCAGCTGGTTCTATCCCGGGTAATAGCATGATGCTTTTTAATGGAATAAAGAGCCGTTATTTGAAAGGCTGTACGTACCTAGTATTAGACGTTTGTCATGCTTGCTGAAATGGCGG